TGGCAATAGAGAGAGGTCTTTCGTTGGGACAGTTGCTTTCAGAGGAATAAGGGATGGAAGCCGCCATTTTATTTATGTTGCATGTAGTATTGACCACATAACAACCACCTTAAATTTCTCTGGCAAAGCACCTCGGTGTAATTGTAATTCAACATATTCTAAAATTTTGAAGCCATTTTTTCCTGAATCAGAATTCAGACCTTGCTCCACGGTTTTCTTCCTTCTCCTGTTCGCCTTCCCCTTTCGTTTCCTCATGATAATTTTGGCTGCTTTAGTATTTAGCATGTGCAGCACATGCTATGTAAGCCTATACATATCCTATTATACCCTTACTCCTATATCTATTTAAGCTTGGTTCTTTACCTTTTTTCTCTTTTTCTGGCCCTGTGTATTAGGTCCTTTAGTTTAATCATCCGTGTCTGCTTGTACTAGATTGTTTCCCTAAGAACTCTGTAAGCCACAGAGTGAAACTGATTTGGATTTTACAGCCCTGGTGATTTTCCTTCTGGTGTACTACCAAGAAAGTGCTATAGCACAGGAGCTGATGAGTCATTTTGCTGGGTTTTTGCTTTCTATTTTGTCTTCGAAAAATCAGGTATGATCATGAACATGGAAATGTCTCCTCTAACATCATGAGGGTAACGCTATCATAAAGTAAAAGCGTCAGTGTTAGTTTTGGTCTCCGATAAATGGAATACATTGTGATTTCAAGTAAATTGAGTTCCCCCATAAAACATTCATTCATGTAAAATTTTGTTTCTCTAAATTTTCATTGCTTGTACTGGAAGCTGACTAGAATTACTCGGCACCTGCTGCTATGTGTCTGGCGTTGTCCTGGGGGCCTCACACCTGTTAAGCCATTAAATCATCACAGCAGGTTTATATGGTAGGTGTGGATTCTCCCATTTTACTGAAAAGAGGTTGAATCTGAGTGTGTTGAAATAACTTTTCTTATGCCACTCAGCTAGTAAGGCTGGTATTCAGGATCTCTGTGGCTATGACTGCAACAGGCTTCCTGGTTGGAGATAGACATGGGAACGTATTAAGGTTTCATTTTGGATTTATACATTCATTTGGATTAGAAATGAAGCCAACTGTTGTTGGTTGAGATGGTAGGCTGTGGGGAATTAATTCAGTTTAGTACTGAGTATAATCTCTGGCAAGATCCCAGTCTTCTGTCACATAGTACTGCCAGATGAAGGGTTACCTTGATCGTCAATAATTTCATTTTTACATAGTATAGTTTCATTATCTAAGGAGATGAATTGTGGGGCAAATAAATCCATTGAGGTCATAGTGTATATTTCCCCCAGCTTGTTTGAGGCATCACTGGCATGGTTATTTTATCTTTTAATTCTTGGCATTTGATTCAGGGCCATGATTTCCAAAGCTGGTCTCTTGGCTGGGCTCCAACATCTGCCATTTGTTCCTGCATTTTCTCCTCCCCGTTACATACCTCCCCACTGATCGTTGCTCATATTTTGCCACTACGGTAGTCTCCCTCTTCTTCAGTCTGTCCTACATATTGCCAATCATAGCAGTTTTTTTCACAATACTCATTTGGCCTCAAAATACTATTGTGCTTCATGGCACACTCTGTGATTCCATTTATATAATGTTCTTGAAATGACATAATTATAGAGATGGAGAATTGATTAGTGGCTGCCTGGGGTTAAGGATGTTGAGGTGAAGGGAGATGGATTTGACTCTAATGAGGGTAGCACGAGGCAAATCCTTGAATGATTGAATAGTTCCGTAGCTTGGTGTATGGTGGTACATGATGCAAATGTGATAAAATAACATAGAGCTATACTCCCTTTACCTAATGTTGATATCCTGCTTTTGATATTGTACTGTATGTATATAACATGTCATTAATGTGGTAACCTGGATGAAGGCTACAGGAGTTCTCTCAACTATCTGTGCAACTTCATATGAACCTATAATTATATAAAAATGAGAAGGAAAAAATACTGTTGTGCTTTAAAATGTTTAAGTTCCCATGTCTATCATATTCCTTGTTTTATATTCTTTGTTTCCTCCTGAATTAATCATTCAAAATCATCTCCTGATTTTTTTTCTACCTAAATCGTAGTTGACGTTAACATAGTGTTTGTCTTTTATCAGGTTACCAAGAAATGCTTTTTGAATTCATTGAACAATTAAGTATGCTTTATGAAAGAACCGTGTGTCAGTATTTGGTCTCATTACAAACCATCTTGTTTTCCTTCTCACTTCCTTATTCATTTTTGTCTCTGCCTAATCTCTTTACAGGGACTAAGCAGCAGGCCAGGGATTTGATTGGTGGAGACTTGGGCTTGCCTAGAGGGGTTGCATTACCTGTGGCCATAGTCACATTGCCCAAAGTCCAGTCACAAATTCTAAAAGGCAGTGGGTCTTTGAGGGCTTACGACTTAGTTATAAGGGCTAGATGAGTCAGGAAACCCAGGATATGGACTATGGTGAACCACAACCATCCATTCATTCAGATTTACTAAGACTAGTTTTATAGCACAGTGAATGATCTGTTCTGGTGAACGTTCCATCCATGTGTATCTGAAAGGAAAAGATATTCTACAGTAATTAAAATCTATTTCGGATCTTCGGTCTTCAGTGATTTGGGTGGGGGGTGTCTAGTTCTATCAGTTACTCAAATTATGATTGTGGAGTTGTGCTTTTCTCCTTTTAATTCTGTCAAGTTTTGCCTCATGTATTTTGAAGTTATTAGGTGCATACACATTTATGATTGTTGTGCCTTCATCCTGATGAATTGACCCTTTTATCATTATGATGATCTCTTTGTATCTTTGTCTTGAAGTCTTCATTATTAATTTAAACATGTGAGTCTTACGCTTACTATTTGCATTAGTATAACTTTTCCCTCCTTTACTTTGAATCTGTGCCTTTATATTTAATGTGGATCTCTTAAAGACAGCATAGAATTGGATCTTGCTTTTTTAAATCCATTCTGGCTGGCTTTGCCTTTTAGTCCATTCACATTTAATGCAATCCTTGCTATTGTTTTTTAAGGTTTGCTTATTTGTTTGTTTGCTTGTTTGTTTCTTTGTTTTGTGGTTGTTCTAGAGATTACAGTGTATATCCTTAACTTTTCTTAGAAGTTATTGTTTAGGGTTAGTATTATCCCATTTTGAATAAGATAGAAGAACCTTGAAACTACATAAGAGCTTTTAACCCCTCCCAGACATTATGCTATAATTGTCATGTGTATTACATTTACATATGTTATAAATCCCACAATGAAGTGTTAGAATTTTTACTTTAAACAAGTCATGTATTTTTAAAACAGTAAGAGAAAAATAGTCTTTTATATTTACAATTTCTGCTACTCTTCATTCTCTGGATATTTTGTTTTCTGATATCATTCACCTGGAGAACTTTTTGGGATTTTTTCTGTCTTAGGTTTGCTGGCACAGACATCCACAATTTTCTTTCATCTGTAAGTTTTTAAATTTATCTTCATTTTTAAAGATCCGTGGCCTGGATGTAGAATTCGGGGTTCACAGTTCTCCCCCAGCTTTTCATCATTCTACTGTCCTCTGTCCTCCATAGTTTCTTATGAAACACTGATTCTTATTGTTTTCCTATGTGTATAGTGTCAGTTTTGTCTCTTTTAAAAATGTTTCCTTATATTTGGTTTTCAGCAGTTTGCCCACGTGCACCTGGATGTAGCTTTCTCTGCATGTAACCTGTTTGGGGTTTTCTGGGCTTCTTCAGTCTGTACATCAGTCTTTGACTCAAACTGGAAAATTGCCAGCCCTTTTTTTTTTCCTGCAGTGTTTTCTCTCTCTTTACCTCCTGAAACTTTAGTTATACAAAATGTTTGCTCTTTTACTAGTGTCCAAAAGACCCTGATGATCTGTTTTTTCTTCTTGGGATTGGATTTTTCATTTTTACTTCCATAAACATACTTATAATAACTTTTTTAACATCATTGTGGGCTGATTCCAGCACTTGGGTCAAACTTTCCCTTGAATATAGGTTAGATTTTCCTGTTTGTTCATATGTCAAGTAATTTGAATCTTACAGGATTCACTTTGTGAATGATACTTTGCAGAGATTCTATTTTTTTTTGTTCCTTCAAAGAGAATTGATTTGTGTTAACAGGCAGTTAATTTGGCTGAACTTAAACTAAATTTTGACTTTTCTCTGGCAGGTGGCAGTTCCACCAATCTCTTCAGAAAGCTAATATTGAATATGTTCTGTGTGTCATGCAGTAAAATAGAGGACTGTGCTAAAAATAAAATAGACACGGACCCTAACCTCAAGAGACTCACAGTCTAGCTGATAGAGAGAGGAAAGTGGAGAAGTAATCGTGATAGCTTCCCATGTGTCATTGAGGTAATACCTGAAGGCAGTAGGGTTACTGGGGAAGGAGTTGTGAAACTGTTAAAATGCAATTTAAAAATTGTTTTTAAGGCAACCCAGTCCTCCTGAGGTCTGGAGATAGTTCGTTTATTCTATGTCGTGACGATGAGAGATTGGCTGATGAACAACTATGAGTTACGCTGTCATCACTTTGTTAAGTCTTTGAAGAAAAGGACGTGTTTCAGAATCACAGCAGATTGTGGAGAAGCAGTATCAAAAATAAATGTTTAAATTCTGGACTGCCGTACCAAACAGAAAGAATACTTTATTTTGGGTTAAAAGAAGGTGATTTGATAAAATCTGAGCAGATGACACAAGTGATCATAGATTAGGGAATATTAGATATTGCTGAGATTAAAAAGACCTGTCTGTACTCAAAGTACCACTGTGGGAAGAACGATACTTCAAAAATCATTTACACTCACAGAAAGTATATCTTAAAACTCTGTAAGTTTCCGATGTCAAAAATCAAAATATTCTTTCTAATCTGTTTTGGATGTTAGTTGTTCATCTATAAAAATGAATGGGGAATATGACGGTTTTTATTTTGTAAAAACATATATTCCTTAGCAGTAACTTGAGCCTTTCTTTTCTCTTTTTTCCTGTTTTAACAGTGTATCCTATTCAGTACATGTATCTGAAGATTACCCAGGTATGCTTTTTTTTTTCTTTCTGTTTTTATTACAAATACTTGTGTCGTGGTTTCTTTGAATTTTTTTTTTCTTTTGGAGATGGAAAATGTATATAAATATATCTGGGAGTGAAGCGTTGGCAGGGGAAGACTTAAAGATCCAGAAAAATTCTGTTGGTTGCCTGTGAGATACATGTCTTACCCTGAGATGCAGTCCAGAATCAAAATAGTTTCCTGATGAAAAATAGTTTACTTGAGCCCATGTATAGCTTCAGCCTATATATATTTTTCTCATTGCAAGTAAAAAAAAAAGATTCTCTGAACTGGTTCAGTCGTTGGCTTTGAAACATCATTTGAGTTCTCATAATGTAAAAATAATAGGTAAGGATAGCAGCTAAAATAATAGGTAAAAATAATAGTAATAGCAAAAAATAGTCCTGTCTTCATTTCCCTAAGTATATGTCTCATTAAACAATTCTGACAGTGATCCTATGACATTGTTACCATAGCATCAACTTTTTTCCTCATGAATGATGACACAGCTAGTAAGAGGAAGAGCTGGGTTTTGAACCCAGGAGTCCAGAGTCTATGGACTGTACCACTGGACTAGACTAGGTATCTTGTTTATGTAGTCTCACTGAGTGTCTGTTACTTGAAATATATTACTACACCCACAAACACTTCTCCCTAGAAAACAGAATGTAAGACCACTGCAGATCCATTTTTGTATCAGTCAAACAAGGGTTTTTCTTCTAGGCCATGGTCAGTCCTGTTTTCTAGACACATGTAATCTCATCAGAGCCCAAGCTGTGTATGCCAACATTTTAGTCATGACAATTTTCAGATATGTAAACAAGATGTTTCTCTTTAGTATTTTCCTCACAAGTGATATCTATAATTTTATCTTGAATAAGAACATAAGTATTGTAGACTTAATGCAGAAAAAAATACAACCTGATTACTTTACCTCGGAGAAAAGAGTATAATGCAAGCATCTATTGTTTATCATATTTTGTGGCAAAGAACAGCAATTTTTTTTTAATGTTTATTTATTTCTGAGACAGAGGGAGACAGAGCATGAGTGGGGAAGGGCAGAGAGAGAGGGAGACACAGAATCCAAAGCAGGCTCCAGGCTCCTAGCTGTAGGCACAGAGCCTGATGCGGGGCTCGAACTCACAAACCGTGAGATCATGACCTGAGCCGAAGTCAGTCACTCAACCGACTGAGCCACCCAGGCGCCCCAAAGAATAGCAAATTTTAACTGCCTGTATTTCATATATGTTTTACTCCAGCATTCTGACTTAATAAAATCAGGTGGTCACCAAACTAACTGTTGTGATCTGTCGGTGTCATAAATTAGAAACCTAATTCCAATTCTTATTCAAATCTAGCCATTTTATTCACATACTCTGCATGATTTGGATCATATTTTTCTGTGTAAAATGACTAGATTGCTATAGGCAACTTTGATGATACATACTTCGAGTACTTTTAAAAATTGTTAGTTCATAAGATAGTATGAAGATGTAAAACTTATTTCTTTAGCATTCATGCTACTTTTTTTTGTGGCTGTTTGCATCATGCATTTAATCTTTTTATAAGATCAGATGTTACATTTAAAAATAATTTTGTAAGTTTCAGTTACTTTGCTATGATCTCCATATATGTTAAGCATATTAGTCTTTAAAACTTTTGTACAGTTTTACAAGGGGAATTATTCATTATTAAAGAGATGGCCTATTTTTTTTTTAATGGTAGTATAAAAAGAGTTCTAAACAGATTTCATTGGAAGAAGGAACACAAGAAGTATTTACAAAGAAAAATTTTTTGGTAGAAGATTTTGTCATCAGCTCTCTCCCTTATGGTATAGGATGTTTTTGATACTGAATGTTTGCTAAGTGTGTTAGGAAAATAAAAGCTCCAGTGTTGTGAATATTATAATTATTGTGCTTCTCATCTGAGGCAGCTTCTAGAGATGTCAGTCATGAGAGGACTTGAAGTCAGAGTGATAGAGGTAATGCCACAAATCAAAGCCACGTTGAAGACAGTAAGTGAATTATTCTGTAGCACAGGAAATAGGGCAGAAGATGCCCTTAGTAATAACGAAGGGAGCCAAATGTTTAGCTCCCTCTTGTGGCCAAGAGGTATCACTGGCTTTTTCTCTCTGTGCGGGAGGTAGCCCCTTTAGGAAATGCAATATACAAAAATTGAAACATAAAACACTAGTTATCATTTGTGTTTTTTAAAAATAAGTTCCCTTCTTGGAGAAAGTCTGTAGCGAATTTCCACTATAATTTCATTTCTAAAAATAAAAGGAGTGTAAATGAAACACAAGTTTTGGTGTGAGAGAGATTAATGCATTTTGGGGTAGAATTTTGAATTGGCTGATGTAACCAGTACACTGTATACCAAGTATTTTCATACACATAATAGAATAGACTCTAAATGCCAGTCTGTGTATAAGCAGAACAGAGGCTATCGTGACCATTTATAATTGAAGCAATGTGTCAGGAGAGGGTAAAGAGTATTTCCCAAGGACATGCAGATTGGTGGTAAAACCAAGTCTGTAATTTAGTTCTGATTCCTGTCACTTGTATGAAAGAAGCAGTGGGAGTTATTTTTATGGAGTGTTCTTCGTATTACTACATTAAAAAAAAATTCAAAGTGTTACTATGACAATATTTTATCCATTTGATTAAATTTTAATCTACATTTATTTGTATTAAAAGTTCAGTTAATACACTTGATTTCTCAGGTAGCTAATATTGCATACAAATTATGTTTGCTCTCCCTTTCCGGTATTCATCCTTGTGTCTTTTCTGCCATTACACTGCTAGAACTTCCAGAATAATTTTTAATGATGATTGTGAAAGTTGGCAGCTTTGTCCTTCTTTTCCAAAATTAGTGAGCGTGTTTCCATCTACTTTCAGAAAACTAGTTTTCTCGTTTTACCAAGTCTTTTTTTTTTTTTTTTTTTAAGAATGAGTTGTAAGTCTTGATCAAATTCTTGCTTAACATCTATTGAGGTATCACGTACGCTTTCTCCTTTGAACAACAAGGTTGTTTAGCAGGCATCTTAATGTTGATCCGTAAGAACCGTATGCATCTTGCCATATATTTTGCTGTTAAAGAGTTGGCATTGCTGAAGAAATGCAGCTATTCTTTGGCATTTGCTAGAACATGCCAGCAAATCTCTCTGAGCCTGGCATCTCTTCAGGGATGGTTCTGGGGCAGTTGTTATTTTTCTGCCGTGATTATTGTCTGTTTTGTTTTTCTGTTTCTTAGTCACTTTTAAACGTGAAAGCTCACTGTGTTGGTGAAATGTCCCAACTTCTGTAGCAAAAAGTTTTTTATCGTATTCGGCCTGTACATCTGAAAATCTGCCTCTTTGTGGTTATTTCTCCTGTCTCCTACCTGTTGTTTTACATTTGTTCTTGTCTTTTTCTCCTTTTGGTTTTTCTTCCCCAGAGTTTACTTATTGTAAAAATCAACTCAAACAGATAGCTTTTTATGTTGTTTTTGAAAATTTCTAAGTCTTGATAGTAATTGCTATCAGTAATCTTGATAGTACTTCATTAGTTCCTTCTGCTAATGTTCCTCAGTCTTTTCCCTCCCTACTTTCTCTGGATTATATGGTTGAATGATTAGCTCATCATCTAGCTTTGAAAATTTGGAATTTGCTTTGCCCTGTGGAAATATATGAGCATAATCCTCCAGATTCAGGATTATGGCACTTTGTTTATTTCCTTAGGAACAGATTTATCACTTCATAATTTTAATGTATTAAGTAACCTGTGCCACCTATTGAAATTCATGTCATAGTTTTGTTTTGTGTGAACAAAGAAGATCTTTATTGAGTATTAAGTATACTTTAAGTAACATGTTCATAAATGCAATGTTAAATGATATGTGGGCTTTTTTAAATGCAGCGAAGAAATAGAGCAACCTTCTGGTTTACTTGTGCTTCCTTATGGAATTTATACTGTAGACAGATTTTTGCTTTTTGGAGGCAAATATATTACAAGTCACAGATAATTGGCTCCACTGGAACAGAACAGCAGAATTTTTTCTCATCAGTTCCCACCTTTAATTAGGAGGCTCACCTACTGGTGGGTGTGAATTTTCTCATCCCTTTTTTATGTTTTACAAGATATTGCGATTGTTGAGTGACAGCTTTTTAATATTAAAAAAAGCATAGCAAAGAACTGATGTTTGAATTCAGACAGTTTTACCACTTACTTGCCATGTGTAATTTTTTTTTGTTTGTTTATTTTTGAGAGACAGAGAGAGAACAAGAAAGCAGGGGAGAGACAGAGAGAGAGAGACAGGACCTGAAGTGGGGGCTCTGCGTGACAGCAGAGAGCCGATATGGGGCTCGAACTCATGAACCACAAGATCAAGACCTGAGCCCAAGTTGGACACTTAAACCGACTGTGCCACCCAGCCGCCCCTTAATTACTTAAATGATTTGGGCAAATTGTTTGATTTCTCTTAGCTTTGGCTTCCCCATCTTTAAAATAGGGATAATAGTTGATTGGTTTGAAGGTGATACGAAGTGTATAAATATTACATAATATAACACTCGGGAGATATCCAGATTATATTACAAAAGCCAATATAATTATTATTATAATTGTATTATTTTTCTGAAGGTACGTAGTAATCAATAATGGAATGACTTGGCTTAAATTATGTTGCCTTTGAAATAGAATGGAAACAATAGTTTCACAGATGCTTTCTCATAGCTCTCTACCCATCTTGCCCCAGTTGTCCATGGAAGTCCCAGTAATGGCTTGCGTAGTCTGGTAGGGCAGGGAAGAGAAAATAGTCACATTGTTAACAGCCTTTAATAACGATCTATAGGTCCCTACAAAACTTACACGTTAAGGAACCTAGCTGTCCTCGGAATTTTTGGGGGCAAAAAAAAAAAACAAAAAAAAACCCTTGGCACCTCTGGAGTCAAGTGGGAGAATTCCAGAGAAGGAATTTGAGTTTGAAAACATTCTATTCAGTCACTGACTCATTCTGTTACCTTAAATGCATTCCTTATCCTTTTTATGTCCTACTTTCTCATGTCTAAACAAAGATGATTTTATTATTACAGATGTCAAAATAGTTTGAGGAAGGTTTAGAAATGATTATTTAAAGAACAACGAAAAGAGAAAACAGAATTCATTCATACAGCTGGGACGATCCTCAAAGAGCATCTGCAGACCTTCACTTTAGAACTAAAGCAACCATGGGTTAGTTAAAAGGGATCAATAGCTAGTTGGTAGTTGGGCCTAGATTTTATGTGCTTTGTCTACTGTCCTACATTTCTGTTTTTCACTTGAGTATATATATCTCTTTGATCGGGCCTGTGATGTCGTAATGATGATTTAATAGATATTGGCATGAAACCTGAAAACATTTTGGCTTGGGTAAATTTAGCCAGAAACAGAAATTGAAAGTGTTCAAATGCCTAAACACTAATCAAGATACAAACTGGTAAAAAAAAAAAAAAAAAAATCTCTTAGAAAATGATGTGTTTGACTGCATAATCCTGTCTTAAAGCATTATGCAACGTGTGTTCATTCGTTCAATTCAAATTACATTCTCTTGAATCAAAGCTGACTGCCTTGTAGTGTCAACACCACCTAAGCCATTGGATCCATTAAATTGAGTTATTCACTTCCTTGTTTTCATAAACAGAATGCCCTAATTTACTTTCCTCTTAAAGATTTAGTAAAATGCTCCCGTCCATGACACTGAGATACTGCATGATACTGTGTGCACTTTGTGGATTTTTTGGGATCTCCCCTTCTAGGTGGTGGTTAGCTATTACTTTTTTGCTTTAATGCTCACTTTTGTTTTTAATACACCTTTTCTCCATAAGTTTGCTTCAAGGAATACATTATCTACAGGGAAAAACTAATTGAGTTGATTCAGTAGCAAATAACTTTGGATCAGTAATCCTCTGAATGAGGGTTTAAGAAATTGAAATACTGGCTTTAATAGAGGGTTTACTCTTCACCTCAGAGTATGAGGTTATTGACAGAAGAGACTCCAGATAAACGGTCAAAGTCTCAACCAATGTGTTGAAACAGTAATTAAAACAAATTTATATTAAACCTGTTTCTTAATCTGTGGTCCCACTTGATAAACACAAAAATCTCACACCCTCCTCAATGCTACTTGAAAGTGAAACAAGGCAAAATTTGTAATTAAAACAAAGTAATGAGGCAAACCTGTTTTGTTTCAAATCTAATCCACATTCGTCTCCTCTCACCTTCCAGAATTATTAGTAAACCCTTATGTCTATTGAGAGTCTTTGAGACTATGCTGTGAAGACATATCACTCTCGACTCACTGCACTCAAGGTCTAAACACAGTGCAGATGTTTCTTTGCAAATAAAGTAGTGACTTTGATATCTATCAGTTAAAGATCGTGTTCTCACTGTACTGACACAATATTATGAAAACTTGGCTCAAGATCTTTTATCGTGTACTCAGTCAGTTGTCAGAATGCTCATTTCCTTTTGCAGAAATTGATAACAGGTTTCTGTTATTTGTTGGGAATATTTTACACTTTTTATATTTTATACAGTGTCAATGAGAGTATTATAGGACCATAATTAATGAATTGGTGAAGCATTTGGTAACAAACAGTGGTCTCACAAATGCCCAGTAATTGTCAATGAACAAAGTAGAATAAATGGCTGTGTGTTATATTATATACACAAAGATCTGTATTTTTAGGGAAAAATCCTAAATTTATTAAAATATTTTTTTCTGGAGAAAACAAATAATGAATAAAAAAAGCTGTGGAATAATTAAGTATTTTCTGTGCATTCAACTTGCTTAGTATTATTTAATGGAATTAATTTATGGAAGAAGAAGAATTGTGAGACTTCATATCATTTAAAAATATACATTAGAGTAATATGGAGGTATGATTTTCAACCAGGGCTTTGGTTCAGTTTTTTTAATGACTTGATATTGAATTTTTTTATTGCACCAAATGTTCTTGTTTTAGCTTTTTCCCAGTATCTGCTTCCTGTTTGGGGAACAGTCTCTATCTGCAGTCTGTATTTCTCTAGGAGACACAAGTGTCTTTGAAGACGCCATTTAAAATTAAATCACATGTAAATCTGTGATAAATCACGTATACTTAATTTTGTCTGAGATTAACCAGAGCAGTAGTATGTGCTTCCTGAGTGATGGAAGCGATGTGGATATAATTTAACTTTTTTTAATAAAGGGTGTATTTTTTTTGGTTACCATGCCTTGAATTGTCCATATTTCTTTGCAGATAATACGTATGTGTCAAGTTCAGAAAATGATGAAGACGTATTAGTTACTACGGAGCCAATTCCAATAATTTTCCACCGGATAGCAACAGGTAATAGGAATATACTGTTTTTTTAAACTCTAGATTAATGTTTTCTTGGCTATAGGTAGCTTTATTTATTTATTTTTGTTCTTTTAGCCCATGTAACAGATATTTATCTTTAGCATCTATAAATCTGGTGTCCCATACAAATTTTCTGTCTAACTTGCATTAGTTTGTTTTTCAACAGTTTTTTAAACACATAAATTTACACTACTTTAAAAAAGCCCTGTTTAAATGCATTGTGTTGATATTCGCTCTTATGAAAATATTCCATACATAATGACACTGGTAGACAAAAATGAATATTTAAAAAGCTTACTTAAGGCAATGTAGATCCCACAAAATACATAAACGAGAGCTGAAGGGGTCTGTATAGTGGCACTTTGGTTTGACCATATTTTGATGGGCAATGAAAAAATCAGAATAGCTTATATATCATGTAACTTCCTAACATAATATAATTATAAAACATTCCTTAATCTTTTGGCAAAGAGAGAATCACCGGAGGCGTGTTTTTATACTGAAACTTATAAATATTTGATAAATAGCCTGCTGAAAACTAAAGTGATGTTTTATAAATGATGTTTTATAACTTTCTTTCAGAATTAAGGAAGACAAATGACATTAACTGTTGCTTATCCATAAAATCAAAATTACAGAAGGAAAATGGAGAGGTATGGAGGTTACATTTCGTATTTTATACTTTATTCAAAACAGAATACATTGTAAACTTACCTTGTGTTTATAGTTAATATCATTGCTATTTAGGTTAAGACTGTAGGGGCGCCTGGGTGGCTCAGTCGGTTGAACTTCGGACTTCGGCTCAGGTCATGATCTCACGGTCCGTGAGTTCGAGCCCTGCATTGGGCTCTTTGCTGACAGCTTGGAGTTGGAGCCTGCTTCGGATTCTGTGTCTCCCTCTCTCTCTGCCCCTCCCCCATTCATGCTCTGTCTCTCTCTGTCTCAAAAATAAATTAACATTTAAAAAAATTAAAAAAAAAAAAGACTGCATATAGTGTATGAAGCACAGGCTTGTGGCCAAGAGACTTAAGTATAGGGAAGGGTAGTGACCTAGAATTAACCCTGAGAAGGAAGCTGCCTTTAACAGAAAAAGTGTCTGGCTTAAATCTAAATCAAGTGCACACAAAGCTTAACTTATTCTCTGTATTTGGTCAAGTAATGTAGTTGACTGAGGAGCATCTTCTCTAACTTACAGTTCTAACAGCTGCATGTGGAACCCTTCCTTACCATTTCATTTGTAAAAGGTGATCTCTTTACCTAAGGTAGCAAAGAGAAGGGGTATATAGTCTTATTATTAGTGGCCAATGTTAAAACAACATCAATGACAAATTCCTGCTACCCCTTTCTCACCTTTAAAAAATCTGCTAGAATCAGTCAATAAACACTGGGGTGTTAAGAAAAACAAGATGAGTGCAACGGGACTGACAATTTTTTGCTTTTCAAACTACACACCCGGAACAAACCCCCCCCCCCCGCCCCCCACCCCTTAGTATTGTATTGTTCCCTCTACTCTCCTTCATCCACAGTGAGAACCACAGATTTAGCAATACTGGCCCCCAAACCCAAATCTGTTAGCATTTTATAAAACCCAAATTCCCTTTTGTAGGTTTTTCGTTTTCCTTAAGAATTTGAAATTTGGTCTAGAAATTTAGAAACGATTCCAAAACATTGGGTTGATAGATTCCTGTGTCTAATGGGATTTGCCTTTCTCCTAATTATTTTAACAGAGCCGGCCGAGTATGGGAATATCATCATTAGTTACTTTAGGTAAAATTTTACTGTTTGAACTTCAGACACAAAGCATATGTGGTTCCATTAATTAGAAACTCAGACTTCAAGTTCAAGCATATTTAATTAAACATCCTTTTGAAATCTGAAATCTAAAGTAAATAATTTCTGTATGTAGAAAGTTCTCTTCATAATGTAATTCATATTTATTTTCATAATTTGATTTTTGTATTATTGGAGTTAGAGTGTCTTTTATTTCATACCATTATGTAGAGTTGGTAGTGGAAGTGAGCACGGTCAGGGATAAATAAATAATGCTGAGGAACTTTTTTTTTTTTCAATATTTATTTATTTTTGAGGGAGAGGGAGAGAGAGAGAGAGAGACAGACAGAGCATGAATGGGGCAGGGGCAGAGAGAGAGACACACACAGAATCCGAAGCAGGCTCCAGGCTCTGAGATGTCAGCACAGAGCCCGATGCATGGCTCGAACTTGAAAACCACGAGATCACGACCTGATCCAAACTCTGAGTCTTAACTGACTGAACCACCCAGTCGCCCTAGTGCTGAAGAACTTTTTAATAAACAATTGAATCAGTATGAACTCAGAAACTACGAGATCATGACCTGAGCCGAACTCTGAGTCTTAACTGATAGAGCCACCCAGGCGCCCCAATGCTGAGGAACTTTTTAATAAACAATTGAATCAGTATGAACTTGTCAGATGTTTTTATCAGAACAAAACCAAAGTTGTAGTTGATGACACATAGTTTTATGTAAACATCAAATAGTATATTGTACAACTCAAAATCAATGAAATAGAACTTTTAAAAAAGATGTACAATAGAGCTTACTACACTGACAAAACTGTCTCTTACTGCCTTTTGTTTTTGGCTTGTACTACACTACACACGTTTTTTATATAAAATCCATGTGATAAGCAAGCACAAGACCTATCTATTATGGCCACTTGCTACTTTTTTTTCAAAAGAAGGTAAGCTAATCTGACCATTAAAATTCTTTTCTTAATCTGTTATTTAAGGAGTCAAGACAAAATAGTACAGTGGAAGAAGATTCTGAAGGTGATAATGATTCTGAAGAATTTTATTATGGAGGACAGGTAAGCACATCAGACCCGTCAAATACCCACTCGCAGAGTTCGCAGTAGCCCTTACGCCCTAGTGGAAATCTGTGCTTGTGATCTGAGAGACCTGTGTGTTGGTTCTGGAGCTAACTTGGAAACCTATATAATTTCTCCGTTTCTCATTTCTACATATTTTCAGAAATCAAGGTTACTTTTGCAACTCTTTGACTGTAATCACTCACACTGAAGTTGTCTTGCTTCATCACTGAGATTTTGCAGGCAGCAGCATTGTATCATAAAATAAAAGTTTTTTGACTTTTATATTTCTTAAGCATATTGGGCTCAGTCATTATTTTGAAATGATGACACTTCTAACAAAAGCATGGATGGATGGTTAGTTTTAAATAGAAGATGATTAACCTTTATCAATGTTGATGGTCCCTCATTACTGAGCATCCTTAATGTTTGTATTCATTGTCTTTTCCTCTTACACTGTTGTAAAGTGTTTGTTGAAAAATGTTGATGAAGAAACATCATAATTTATATATATATATGAGAATGGCATAGCCGCATATATAAAAGAATTCACTATTTTTCCAGGATCATGTTAAAATTTTAAACCGTGGAGTTGATTTTAGGATTTGGCTATATAAGGCATCTTGTTCGTTTCTGTAAACTTTTTTAAAAAATTATTTTTAAGTTTATTTATTTTGAGAGAGAGAGAGAGAGAGAGAGAGAGAGAGAGATTGAGCTAGTGGGGGAAGGGCAGAGAGAGAGGGAGAGCGAGAATCCCAAGCAGGCTCCATCTCACAAACCATGAGATAATGACCTGAGCCAAAACCAGGGGTCAGACCCTTAACTGACTGAGCCACCCAGGTGCTCCATGTTTCTGTAAATTCCTTGATCAAAAAGCTTTGTTATGTTTGTTTGTTTTTTTTTAATTAAAAAAAGTGTTTTTTTAATGTTTATTCATTTTTTAAGAGAGAGAGAGAGAGAGCTCTCTTGTGAGCAGGAGAGGGGCAGAGAGAGAGGGAGACACAGAATTTGAAGCAGGCTCCAGGCTCCGAGCTGTCAGCACAGAGCCTGATGCGGGACTCAAACCTATGAATTGTGAGATCATGACCTGAGCCGAAATTGGACACTTAATTGACTGAGCCACCCTGGCACCCCTTGATCAAATAGCTTTGTAACTTGGATAGTATAATGGGAAGGTAGTATGTTAGAGTGGTGTTTTAAAGCCAAATTTATTATTGTGTAAAAGAATGCAAGTCAGTTTACTTTTCTGGAATCAAAAACCAGTAATTTATCAATGGAGCATAAACAAGGCTGCAGAGGCGTGAACATATACATACAACTGGGCTTCTTCTCTCCAAGAATGCCCGTCCAGCAATGGGATACTTTTCCTAATGATTCTCTAACCAGTGTTGCACTTCAACATTATGCAAAATAATCCTTCCAGTTTGGATTTTTGTTTACACAGCTAGTATTTGCAGAGGGGAAGTAAATGCTTTTTCTCAGTATAGATATTCAGTCTAGAAGTTTTCAGATTATCTGCCAGCCACTACTTGGTTATTTTTAACATTGATCTTTTCCCCATATCAAGGTAGTCTAATTTTCCTTTCAAGCATAGTAAGTTATACTAGACATAGGTGAACCTATGAACTTTAGCGAATATACTGCTGTATTCTCTGTATTTTTCAGTGAGAAATGTCTATGGCACAACCTGCAGGGTAACACCTGTCCAAGAGATGGTTTGTATTTGATTCTTTTGATTCTCTTCACCATCCCTAAGTCATTTCTAAACCATCCCTTTCCATCAGGTGAACTATGACGGGGAACTGCACAAGCACCCACAGCTTGAAGCTGATTTGTCAGCAGTGAGAGAGATATATGGGCCACATGCAGTTTCTCTCAGGTAAATAAATACCTCTCGTGAATAAAAATCGAAACAATTTGGTAAGCCAGTCATTGGGATTTTTCTGTTGCGTTGTTTAAGTGGAAGTATTCTTGGGCTTAATTATATATGAAAGTTCTGAGGACATTCTGCTGTGTTTTTACTTACACAAGATAGTATCTTTATGGCTGTAAGGATTTTTGTTTTGTTTTGTTTTGGGTACATGTGGTTTAAGGGTACATTGATGCATTAAAAAATTAGTTAATTTGGAGAGTTAGTTCGATAAAATATCAGTCTTAAATAGTGTCGTAATCAAATTCTGTAATAGATTTACCCAGCTGGGTCCGTGCTGTTAATCATAAATCAAGGGCACATGCACGTGAACAATAAAAGTCAATAATGCATTAACCACTGAGGTCCAGAGATCACACTGTGATGTGATCTGACCCCAAAAAAAGAAAGGAAAAAAGGGACATAAATTTGCAGAGTGTTTGTTTGAATGATAATGTAGTTTATCTTTCAGTTACTTAATATATAATTTGGTGATAAATTTTGGACCATTATTTATTGCTTTTAATTATTCAGAAGACCCCACTATCCTTACTTTTTTTTTTTCTCCTTCATTTAAAAAAGGAACTCTTTCCTGCCACTATCTTAGTTTCCCTCCATGAATCAGATCAGATTATTTCAGATTCTTTCTCTTTGCCTAACGAGCAGCCTTCAACTTGCGGTGGAATTCCAGAGCCCTATCCCAGCCTGCCCTGGTTTCCCACCTTGCCCACCCAAACCACAAATGTCCCCATCCTCCAGTTCTCTGTGATCCCTCTTGACCCTGGGCATTTATCTGAACTTGTTTCTTACCAAGAGATGCTTCACTCTCAACCCCACTGCTGTTGTTATTCAAGCCACAGTCCAAAGGCCACCTACTCCTTGAGCCTTCTTTGAATCTCCACTGCAGGTTAGTTGTTCTGTCCTTCAGACTCCCATCACATTTGGCTCTATCCTCATTTATTATACTTCTCATATCCTGTCATTATTGCTTTACTTCCCCTCCTCATCCTAACTTATGTTACTGCTGGGACAGTGCAGTTGGTTTTTAAAGTTTATTTATTTTGAGAGAGAGAGTATATGCACCAGTGCATGGGAGGTGGGGGGTGGGGGTGGGGAGAGAGAATCCCAAGCAGGCTCCTTGCTGTCGGCTCCGAGTTTGACCCAGGGCTCGATCCCACAAACCGTGAAGTCATGACCTGAGCCAAAACCAAGAGTCAGACACTCAACTGACTAAGCCACCCAGGTGCCCCTGGGACAGCGCACTTTTTGTTGTTCGCTTTATTTTGTTTTGTTTTGGTTTTTAACCATGCTTGTATTTTGGTACTTAATATAGCACAGGGGACTATGTGAAATATGGGCTAATGGATTCTTGATCAGTTCCAGTGACATCCATGAAAGATGTTCACATTATCTGGTTGCATTCTCTTCCATGGACATACCCAGATTTTGAGAGAGCAAACACTTTAAGTTGGAAAGTACCACACAACTAAAATTTATAATTGTCAAGTGTTTCATTTTAACTTCAGAAACAAACTCACCACCACCTGCAGCCTAAATAAGCTGGGGTTGTATGCACAGATCCACTCTTTCCCACTCCCAGAGCTCTGGTAGGTTGCAGTTGAGTGAGAATGATTGGGATTATATTTGGAAAAGCAAATATTTGCAATTTTCAAGGTTTTAGCAAATGAGCTGCAATTATATCTCAGTTGATCTCTGCTGTGGCTCCAGGCTAGGGAATGTGGATATTCAGTAAGTGTGTTAGAACGAATAAATGAAGAAGGCATTAGGGATTTAATCAAAAAATAATCCAAAACAATGACTAATTTTTTAACTTGAGTCAGAATTTGCTTAACAGCTTAAAACTTTGATCACAGTGATTTAATCCCCTCCCCCACTAAAAAAATGGATACAATTAATCATAGAATACAACATGCAATTCAACTTCTTTTCATTTGAAATACGTATTTTGGGGGAGGATTACCTTAGCACATGTTGATTGCTCATATAGTGAAGGATTTTTTAAATACATAGTTCCATGCTGTCTAAGCTCTAACTATACTGTTATGTGTGTGTGTGTATATATATATGTGTGTGTGTGTGTGTGTGTGTGTGTATATATGTGTGTGTGTGTGAATTTGTTTGTTTCTTCAGCAAGAATTTATTAAGTACCAATGATCATCTCTATTAGTATTTTCCATTATTAATAAAATTATTGATAATTTATCAACTCTTGAAATTGGATAAATATTTGGAATTTCATTCAAATGAAATATCTAAAGTCACAGAGTTTGATTTTGTTTCCCTCTTCCGTATTTCACTTACAAGTTTTGATTCAATTTGAATCTTCATGAATATAAGCCATGTTCCTGCCTGCTGTAGACTTACTCTATCTACAGAGGATGTTTCCCGAATATATAACCTCCCAGAGGCCTCATGGTATAAAGTATGAATCACAGCAGGACTAATCTGATTTACTTGAAATAAATACGAATGAATTTACTGTGTAGGATCAAATACTAAGGCTTGGGCACATGGCAAAGGCAGTAGTTAGGCATAAGGTCCTGGAATCTTCTTCCTTGCAAAGTTCTTAGTCTGTTGAAAACAGACTGTTCTAATTAGGTGTTCTTTTACTTAATTGAGGTTTATAAGAACTTAATGGAGTTTGAAGAACAAAAGTACCTCTATATACATAATAGGCTATTTGGTGTCATTTTTTTTTTATGTGACACCTAATGAGAAAGGCAGCTAACCACATCTAAGTTCTCTTCAAGAGATGGAAATAACTAGGATTGCTTCACTTGAGACAAAACCTCTTAAAGTCAGTTGAAGGAGGATATAGAAACAGAAACTAATGACCAGTTTATTACTTAAGTAAGTAATTTCTGCTGTACATGGCCATATCATTCAAAAGCAGAATCCTGGCTATATCAAACTGTGATTCTAAACACTGGTGATAATTCCAATCCATAGGCTCTTGTATTGGAAGTGAGTTAGGTCTCTGGGAAAGGCACAAAAAACTATTAGTTTATCAGCCTGAATGAACATGTCTCATCTTGAATAATTCAGCAAAATGAAGATATATTTATGTTTTTCATTATAAATTTTCTCCTATAGTCCTGTATTTACAAAAAAAAAAAAAAAAAGGATTTGATCAGTGCCATCTGAAAACACTTTGAGATTAATATTTTTAGAAAGGTGAAGCGAATTACAAGTCACAAAATTCTCATTTAGTCAGGAATGAAATGATTCTGACAATTTGCTTAGGGCGCTTCAAACTTCCAGCCCCTGTGAAATAACCTTTGCTTTATAATTATACCATCTTCTGCTTTAAAAGGTGAAGCCACAGGAGTAATATAAAACCTTTTAAAAATAAAATCTTTTGATTGTGCCTGATGTTTAATGAAGGTTGGAAGATTGCAAGACTGTGACTCTTCTGAGTTTTGATTACTTTCTGGGGATGGACAGTTGTAACAGGGCCTTTGGGAATTGAGCTTCTAGAGGACAGGGCGTTCTGAGGAGTTTTTAAGGTTTGAGGTGATGACGCTACAGTATTCAGGCTCACATACCTCCTTAAGGGAAAAAGAGGGAGACAGAGAAAGGAAGGAGAGGAGAGGGGGAGGGAAGGGGAAAAAACCCCACATAAATTGGTACAGACCACTTTCTCTGGGTTTATGTATTTCCATTTGTAGTGACCAGTAAGACCACTTACTGATCTGGTTCCTGCCCTCCGGCATATGGCAGAATTTTATTTCCCTGCCCCTTTTAATACCATGTGTGGGCACAGCTAGTTTTGGCTAGTGAAGTGTGAGCAGAGGTACCAAAGCAGGGTTTCCTGCTTCCCCCCTGACTCCATCACTCCGGGCTCCTTGGTGACCACAGTGAAGTAGCATCTCTTCTCCGCCCTCTGGTTCCATAGTAACTATGTAGTGTGAGTGAGATACAAATCTTTTTTTGCATTAAACCACTGCCATTTGAAGAAGTTTATTACTACAACATACTTAACCTACGTTGAAGTACGTCATTCATCAAAAGGTCTGGCGTGGACGTTTGCAGTGTCCTTTCCAGAATGTTAATTCTCCCAGCCCCACCTCTAGAGCCTTCAGAAAAATGGTCTGACTGAAAAGCAGGGAAAGTGATGACAGGAGGCACATAGAAGAAACAAAGAGGAGAGTATTTTCCAAAAACGCTGGCCATAATCTAGATGAAAAGCTTCAGAATGTCACCTCCCAGACAGTCACTTGTACTTTCTTCAAGCAAAACCAAGATTTTTTTAAGCTGAGGGGGAGTTGTAGCAACTGTAACCTCTTACACACTATCACTTTATATGGGCTTCCTTTTTTAATCTGGAGCTAGTTTTTAAATTCTCTCAGTCCTGTTGCCTTTTAGAGAAACTTCAGAACACTTTGGATACAATCTTGCAAATGCTTTCATCTGCCAAGATTTCTTTCTGACTACTGAGTTTGCATATTTCTTGGCCCATTCACAAACATCTCTCCCACACTGAGCAAAAAACACACATTGAGTAGGCATGCAGAGACAGACATGCAAGCTGTTGAGTTTCAGATGTCATAAGAAGGTGTATGTTTCTTCACAAAATATGTTTCTTCTCAAAATGTAACTGACCAGTCATTGGCTACAAGAATTAACTAAATAGTGATAGAGTTTTATTTCCCAAGGACATGTGGTAAAGTTTCGTGTATGCATGCGTACATGTAATTCCCTTGACAGCTAATAAGGGAAGGTTAAGATATCTAGAATATATTTTTATAACCTTCACAATCACTAATTTTGATCAAATAGTATTATAAAACATCATGACAGTATAATGAATAAGCTATATATAGTTTTACAGAGAATGAAGGACCAGCATAGACGGTCTGACATTTAATATATTGATTATGTAATGTATGTTGTATCTCATTAAAAAGGATGCTGTCTTGGTTAGTTCCATTAAAAAATAAAAGGACGAATTGCCAAGATTTCATGTAGTGCCCTCAAAAATACACATTCATAGAAAAATATATTTCATACATATGTTCTTAAATGAACTGTCACGTGTTAAGTACCTAACATCAAATGACCAGATTTCTGCCCAAAGAGTAGCTCAGAGGTCTGAAAAAAATTGTGGAATAGTCCTTTCTCAGTTCCAGAGTGTAACAACTACATCAGATCATTTCTGTGTTGTTCCCCTTATCTTGAAAAAGTATTCAGGTTCAATTTGATGTGATCTTTTCACAGTGAATAAATATAGGCAGTGCATGAAATTATTTTGAGTTATTATAAACCCAATACAGCATTCAGGACACAATCAGATATCTGGCTTCACAATTCAAGTTGCATTCATATTTCAGGCTTTTGACTTGATTCTGCATTTGCTATTCATGAGATCCGGGGCAACTGAAAGTTATTCAGATATAGAAGCAATCCTGATGACTGGGTCGCTGCATCTGGACAAACTGTAATCACGCTTTGTCATCTCACAGCGGGAAATGTGAAATTACTGGCATTATATAAAGAGGGCATCACAACGGAAATTGGTTTGCATATATGCAGAGCTGTTGTGAATTCTCTGAAGTGTGGCATAAAAACAAAAAGTGTAACTATTTACAGATCTACACCTGCAGAATCCACTTAATTGCAAACCTTTAATGCCTCTGCCTCCTTAGAATTCTGTATTTGTGCTTTGTGGTGGTGAAGGAAAGCACTTGTAAACCTTTATTTCCTTCTTTTTGTTGTTGTTGAAATAAATTGATAGTATTAGACATTAACCACAAAAGTATGGAAGAAATCATATAAAGAATATTTTAAAATTCACACATTAAAGGTTTTAAAAGAATACATGCCACTGTCTCATCATAACTGTGTGATAAATTCTGCTGAAGTCTGGAAAACTCTGAAGAAAGCAGCTGTGGGTAAGGTTCTTCCTGGTGTTTCTTGTCTGTGATTCCCTTCTCTGCCTCTGAGTGCACCAGAGTCTTACCATTGTAACTAAATCCAGACAGAAGTTATTCTCCCTTGTGAAAATGGCAATGACGAGAGGAAACAAATGCCTGGTGATGATGAGGATGTGGGAAATGGTCACTGTGATAGCCTGCTGTGATTGCAGATGGCCCTAACTTTTTAAAATAGTAATTAAGTAACATACACAGTTAGTGTGTATAGTACTAAAAAACACATATACTTAACATATATAGTTAATAACATACATAGTTAGATATATATAGTTATATATATATTGTTATACATAGTGTATGTATATATAATTGCATAGTTTTCTATGCAATTGTATTCTGTTTCCTATTCTATTCTATATAGTTATTATATATATAGTTCTATTTGAATATACTTCTATTATTTATTTCACCCAGTAATTCTAGAAATTATTCTATGAGAAGACAGATGCACATAGATTTTTATCTAGAGACTTTTTTTATCCATATTTATAGTGTAAAAAACATCAACAGCAACCGAATAATTGTATAATTGTTTTATTATACAATTGTATTTATACAAATACAACCTTTTTTTTTTATAATTTTGAAGAGGATTTTATCATATAGAAAAACTCATTTTAGAAGAAGTCATAGAGAAGGACAAAAATTTTTGTATACCACATTATCTTTGTACATATATTTCCATATATATATCTTTATGGAATGAGATGTAAAAATAACTGTCTCTGAGTTGTAGTATGACACATTGCTTTTTGTTTGTTTTTCTGTTTCTGACATTTTATGAAATGAGCCTATACTACCTTTATAATCAGAAAAAATAGATAATGTTTTTAGAAAACATAACATTTTTTACAAAATAAGTTTTACCCACAATCTATAGTTAACATGTAAATACTTTTTTCTTCTTCTTTTTTTTTTTTTTTTTTTTTTTTTTTTTACTTTTTTGGTATTTCTGTTTTACTTAAAAACATTTTTTCATTTTGATGTATTTTTGGTAATCTGCTTGCTCCAAATAGTCCATTTTGGAACATTTCCCTCAGGGTAGTAAATATTTTTATATCAACTTCTTGAATATTGGGTAAAAAAATTGTTTTAATCATACCAGTGTGCTATAGTTTATTTCTTTCCTTATTATTCAATATTCATTTCTTTCCCCAATTTCTGCACCTAACAAATATCCTCCTGGACAAAGGTTCCTACATATTTGTTACAATTTTCACCCCACTTAAACATCTATTGAACATCATTAATAATTGATCCTCATCATTACATTTAGTGGTTCTTCCTTTTAACTTACCTAACAAAAGGTACTGGACTTTTATGTTTATGAATAATTTGCTGACGTTTAAGGTCCACAAATCATGACCACTGGGTCAGCGTCCTGTTTTTGAATAGCCTGTGAGCCATAGATAGTGTTTGCTTTTTAAAAGGTTTAAAGAACAAAAACAAAGAGGAATATGTGACAGAGACCAGAAAAGGCCTGAAAACTAAAATACTGTCATGACCTTTGCACAGAAACTTTACTGACTCCTGAACCAGAGGCATTAAAGAGATGGTTTATTTCCTAGGTCCTTATTCTTTAAAAAAAAAAAAAAAATTAATGTTTATTTATTTTTGAGACAGAGAGAGACAGAGCATGAACAGGGGAGGGGCAGAGAGCGAGGGAGACACAGAATCTGAAATGGGCTCCAGGCTCTGAGCTGTTAGCACAGAGCCCGACGCGGGGCTCGAACCCACGGACCGTGAGATCATGACCTGAGCCGAAGTCGGACGCTTAACCGACTGAGCCACCCAGGCGCCCCTCCTTGGTCCTTGTTCTTGCCATAGTGTCTGTGTAATTTCATAAATAAATGGGTAGATCTTTGTATCTAAGTGTGCATGTCAAATCATGTCCTAATTTGCATAAGGTTATATTCTTATCCTTTATGAATAACACAGATGTTTTGATCCATGCAGTGTTTTTGAAAACTTAATTCCTATGTGAATCATTTTTATCCCTTTTGTTCTTTATGTAATCTAAAAATATTATATGAAAGAACAAAAAGTATAATTTCATAAACAATGAAAACGTGGTCAGGGTTTTGATATATTTTTAAGGGGGCAATGGAGAAACTACAGAGGCTAAGTTTTTATATTGTAATATGCTGCTTTTTGTGTGTCACAGACATCAAACATCACAAACCCCTTTGATTCCTTTATCCATCAAATTACAAAAAAACATTTAATCATTAAAGATGTCTTCTCTGAACCCCATACAAGTGCCACAGTTGTGTATTATGTTAGCTTTACTTGAATATATAATACACAGAAATTGTCATTGAGTACTTACTATGTGCCAGATACTATACACAGCTTTGAAATTGGACATGAATTCAATGCCTGACTTTCCCACTGACTCCTTATCTGCTCCTTGGGATCTGATTTCAAGACTCTAAACCTCAATTTCTTCATTTACCAATGAGGATAATAATCGTATCCTTGTCATAAGGCTTTGAGGACCTAATGAGAACATCCATTAATAATTGACTTGGTTTCCAACAGAGTGATAGTGTATTGAATATTGAACGGATTGATCACCTGCATAAATAAATAGAATATATGTGTTTAAACCTCGGCTATCTACAAAGTGATGATGGGTAAGTTAGGGACTCAGTTAATGCATATAGGAGTTAGAGGTGGTAGGTAGTATCTATAGTGCACTATGATCACATGTAGGTAAAATCCTTAGGTTAATTTCTGGCACATAAGTGCTTAATGTTTATCATTTCAGTTATCTGTATAATTCTATCCCGCACTGTGTATAACCTTTGTGACTTTGTAATTTTGTAAAAATATAAAAAATACAGATACGTGTATAGAGAGAATATGGAAAAGCTATTGTTTTTTATATTCTTTAATTAACTTTAAAAAACTCTGCTGGTTTCCGCACTACCTGGGCTGGAGAAAAGGTAGTTTTCAGAACGTCTTCATGTGGCACATACTATTGTTACTTGCTTTCATTTTGATGTATCAGACTTTTAGAGCTGCCTGTCAGAACGTAATGACATTTAAGTGGCAGAACACCTGGGTCCGTTTCAGAACCACTGATGTTTAGCATGGAAGAAAAAAATTGTGGACACGCTGTTGTGACAGTAAATTATTTCCCCACCCCTTCAGAAACTCCTTTTTGAAGTGCCTTCGAAGCAGCTCTTCAGAGAGCACAATGAAAACCAAGTGGTCATATGAGAAGATTGCTTAATTTGCCACAGAGAAATGGGGATGTTTGAACTTACGAAGCAAACAAGTCTTGAATTTATGTATGCGAGTGTTTGTACATATAAAGAGAAGATGTCTAGATGGTATAAATGGTCACAGAAGACAGCAGTCCCACTCCATGGAGTTAGTTAATTCATGTCCCCGGTCACTTCTGAGCTGTTGGCAGAGATGAAGGATATGAGTTCTCAATTGAATTTTTGACTTAACCTTGCACACATTATCTTTTAAGGACAAGGTAAAAATTAGTGTGAATCTTTGCTTTCAGGGAATATGGAGCCATTGATGATGTAGATATTGACCTGCATATTGATGTTAGCTTTCTTGACGTAAGTATCACTTTATACAATATGATTGGTACATTTAAACACTTATTTTTACTGTCGGAAGAAATTTAATATTTGTTTCTCTTATTAGTTACATACTGATTTTGTTAAAGTGATTATAAAGAAATACTATGGCTGAAGAAACAGATTTGGCATACACATAAATAAATATGTTTTATATATAGATATAAATACATACATATATATTTCATTGTTTCTTTTCATATATTCTGAAACTTATGGGCTCTTATTATAATATTTCATTATATCTTAAATTTTCACTTTAATTTTCAAATGTAGGAGGCAAAAATTAAGAATACTTTGACTTTCTTTTCCAAACCAATAGGATTTGAGGTAATTTGTGAGTCTTAAGATTTATGTATTTCTTCAAAATAAATCAAAATTTTTTTTTCATTTTGGGAAAACAATTAAGAATTTTAAAAGATGACTAATTCATCTTTTGACGTGTTTTCACAGGAGGAGATTGCTGTGGCTTGGGAAGTAATTCGAACAGAACCTATAATTGTCCGACTACACTGTTCACTTACACAGTATTTAAATGGTCCAGGTTAGTTTTCCTTCTATGTATTATTTTAAATATGAATTAATTGTGCATTAAGCAAAATGTTCATCTGGTAATTATGAACATAATTGGCAGCTATCTTGATAATGGTATTTAAGTATACTTGCATCCTGACAAAGGTGGTTTATTGCTTTTGTAATTTAATGGAAACAGAAACATGTAACGTTTTAGTTTTAGATTTCAGAAGTTGACAAATTGCTGTGAAACAAACACAGTAAAACCTAAAAGAGAACTTTGCATACAAGCTCAGTAAGTATATTTTGGATTGCCCTTAGATTTAATTATTTTTGCCCCTGATTCTGAGATTTAATTTTAATGTTTACTTATCCCACCTCTGATTACTGATGAATTTAGTGTAACTATAAATATAACCTACTTCTATTTTTGAAAATAGAGATCTTAGTAATATTTTTGTTTTCCATTATCTTTTTAAAATTTTTTTTAATGTTTATTTTTGAGAGAGAGAGAGAGAGAGAGAGAGAGCCCAAGCATGAGCAAGGGATGGGCAGACACACACACACACACACACACACACACACACACACACACACACACAGAATCAGAAGCAGCCTCTAACCTCTGAGCTGTCAGCACAGAGCCCACCATGGGGCTTGAACCCATGAACCGTGAGATCATGACTTGAGCTGAAGTCGGACACCTAACCACCCAGGCGCCTCTGTTTTCCACTGTCTTAAGGGATGATTTCGTTCTTTCTCAGGTGATAACTATTTACAACAAAGGATGCTGTTATTAAATCTTGACAAGACTTACTAGATTAAGATATATTTCCCATGCAAATACACATGCCTGTGCATGTATTCAGATGGGCGTGCACGTGTCTACACATGCATACACACACATACACTGTATCTACTTGTGTCTTCCAGTTATATACTGCCGCACAACAAACCACCCCAAAACTTAGTGGCTTAAAACAATTTACTGTCTCTCTCTGTTGTTTGAACTCAACTGGAGTCACCATGCTTTTGAAGTCAGATGGTGGGTGGAGCGTATGTCCGTTGAAAGGCTCTGCTGGGTTGGATGCCCAAGATGCTGGACTTTGAGATATCTAGTAATTGATGCATGTATCATCTTGGATATCAGCTGGGGCCTCTTGACTTGAGTGTTGACCGTGCATCCACATGGCCTCTTCATGTGGTTTAGGCTTCTTGTAGCATGATGACTGGCCGTTGTCCAAAAGCAAGTGTTCCCAGAGACAGGATGCGGATGTTACCTGGAAGGAAGCACAGTGAATCTTCCACTGGATTGTATTGATCAAAGCAGTTGAAAACGCACCTAGAGGGGCGCCTGGGTGGCGCAGTCGGTTAGGCGACCGACTTCAGCCAGGTCACGATCTCGCAGTCCGTGAGTTCGAGCCCCACGTCGGGCTCTGGGCTGATGGCTCGGAGCCTGGAGCCTGTTTCCGATTCTGTGTCTCCCTCTCTCTCTGCCCCTCCCCCGTTCATGCTCTGTCTCTCTGTCCCAAAAATAAATAAAAATTGAAAAAAAAAAAAAAAAAGAAAACGCACCTAGAATCACTTCTTAAAAGTCATGGCCATCTTCACGTGTACTTTACTGTGGTGTTGGCACGTTTTCCTTAGGCGTATTAAAGAACTTATATCTACTGTTAGTTCTTACATGAGAAAAATATCTGACCTTTCAAGTTGATGAATATACAGGAAGGTCTCTCATTTTGAAAAAGTTTCTGTTGAGTCAGTTCTTTTCTATTTTTGCATAATGAGACAATGATTTCTACTTCAGTAGCCAACGCTTCATGTAAGTAACATGACATGATTTAACACCAGGCAAAGACAAATAGATGTTACATATTTTTATTGTGATTATTTAAAAATGTATAAAAATGTAATAAGGAAGAAAAGGAATTACTCATAATTCCTCTATACTGAGAACACTGTAAATAGTTTGGTGTTTCTCTTTTCCGTGCACACATGGTTTGTTTTCATAAAGTTAACATTGAATTGTAGAATTACGCACCTTAATGTAGTGTCATGAAACTGTCTTCAACTCATTGAATTTCTAAAATAAAATAATTTTAATCTCTGCATAATATTCCACCTTCCAGGTGTATGTGTTTTTGCGGTTTTCCTAGCTACTCTGCTGTATGGCTGTTTTTTCTTTCTTTAGGGATTTGATACGTGGCCACTTGATTTTATTCTGATGGTGATTAGAATAAAAAGAAACTCGCATGTCTGACCTTTTTTTTTTTTTAATTATCAGAGTTAGAAACAAAATTGGGTCAGTTCATCTCTGCTCACCCTATTCCGTCTGTGTGAGATGAAAATGTGGCATACTTTTATGTAATCTTACCAGTGTTACTCAATTTTTGAATATAATCTTGAATTTTAGGCAGAGATTTTTCCTTCTCAGTATCTCTTTAAAAATTTGTTATGTTTGCATGGTTTTATAAATGTTCTAACAATTATATTCTAATTCCTATTTAGATGATTTTATTGTTCAGTACCCATTCTTTGGTATTACAACTCATCTATAATTTAGTCTTCCTTTTTTCATTTTTGTCAGTTGATTTGCCTATTTAACAGTTTGTAAACCAAAGAGACATGAGGGTGATGCTTCCTTTTTTCATACCTGAGAATGACTCTCTGTTTTGTGAACAAGACAAATTTGACCTGGTAGAAGTTGATGGGGTCATAATAGTTGCCCTAAAAGAGGTAAAAATACTTCAGAGACCTCTGCCAGTTTGTGTCTGAAGTGTTTTAATTTTGTTCGTTTGTAAGACACCGGTTTTGGTGTTAAGTTTGTGTTTTGTTATGTGTACTTATTGGGCTATTTTTTCTTTTTTTCCTTAATGGTATCTTTTATGTATTTCTTTTTGATTGGTACACTTCAGTCTTAACTTACCTCAAGCAAGTTTTATGACTAATCCAACATGTAGACTGACCTAGTTAACAGTTCTTTTTGAAAGCATTTATTCCTAGGTTTTGGAAATGTATGAATAATACTTACTTGAGCTGTAATATTTGTCAGGGCTAATCTGACAGTATATCTGTTCTTACACCTCCTTATCGACTCTAATATTAAGGATAAGGATTATTTACATTGTACATGAAGAAATACACTTGAAATAAAAAGACGTGAGTGTTATAATTCTTATATTATGTATTTTCTTCACAGTTCTTAGTGTCTAAGTCTAGTTTCTGATCTGAAGCACAAGACTGCTTTTAGGTTAAAGTGATAAACAGCCAACATTATTAAAACTGTTTTTCTGTGCACATCATCTCATCAATAGTCCCTCTATGTTTACATGATCAGAGCATTAGAATAATTTCCAAATATCTTAAGCAGCCCTCACTTACTGCCTTTCCAATGTAATATTTACTTTTCTGTTAAAGGAAGATTTGTTTGTTGTTTAGTTATATATATCAATATAGTTCTGTGCTTTTTGTTTTTTTTTTTCTGCCTGAGGTCACTAATTTTAGCTAAATTTAATCATGAGTACTTGTTTGCTAATTGTTGGCTTAATGGGACTTTTATATTCCACTTTTAGTTATCAGAAGGCTATTTAAAATTTTTTATAAATATTAATCTAAAAACAATTTTAGATTTACCAAAAAATTGCAAAGGTAGTACAGCATCCCAATCCACTCCACATCTAGTTTCACGGTTTATTAACACCTACTGAACACATTAAATGCAATTAATTGTAATAGTAATGTAAGTTTTATCACTTGAATCTCGGAACATTTTTGGAAGTAACATCCTGTTGTTACTCTCTCTTTCAGTATATTCTAAAATTTGGGTCATTCAGATTTTATATCAATTGAGCCAATGTTTGAACTTACATTTCCCTATAAGATTTATCATTTTGGTAAAATGTTGACGCTTATTTTCTAAGCGTTCATGGTATGAATAAGTTTTGGTCTTTGTGTCATTAGTTTGTAGGATTAATTTATATATTCTGGATGAACGTTTGTATCTATCATCTCTCTTTTCTCTATCTGTGTATCTTACACAATTTCTTCCAGTGATTATTTCAGTTCTTCTAGTGCATTTTAGATTTTTCTACATTTTAGTTTTAACCAGGTCCCTTTTGTTTGTCTGCCTCCATCTCCCCACTTTTTTCATCTGCCTGTGAAGAGATTGTGCCTTCTTAAATATTTTTTTATAAATTTTTTTAATGTTTATATATTTTTGAGACAGAGGGAGACAGAGCATGAGCAGGGGAGGGTCAGAGAGAGAGGGAGACAGAATCCAAAGCCGGCTCCAGGCTCCAGGCTCTGAGCTGTCAGCACAGAGCCCGACGCGGGGCTCAAACTCACAGACTGTGAGATCATGACCTGAGCTGAAGTTGGACACTCAACCTACTGAGCCACCCACGCGCCCCCCCCCTTCTTAAATCTTTTAAGAGAGAGCACAGCATGTTCCAATTTTGTTATCTTTCTCTTAAAAAAATAATTCCACCAAACTTTCAAGATGTTAGGATTTTTTATTCATTGTTGAATTTCTGTAGTCCTGGGTTTGGAACAGGGGGCATTAGAGTGTCCACTCTGTTCCTCACTCTATATATAAGGATTAGAATGCTTTCAGGAAGGGAACTGATAGATGATACTAACACCAGTTTTCTTTGATCAGTAGACTGTTTGTGTCCCAGAATAACAGCCAACACGGGGGTGAAGCAATTGGGGATACCAGTTTGGTTTACACTGTCGAACATGCATAGTCTGTGAATGTCCTTTTAACAAAACAGTTCACCACCTCCACTGATCCAGACCACAGCATCTCTTGTCAATTACTCTGATAAGTTCCTGAGCGATCTTGCTACTTGTACTGTGTTCTTTACAAAGATCCTACACTGCCAACCCACAGTCCTTCTCAGATCCCCTCTCCTAATGTGGTACCTTGTTTACTTCTCTCTGGCTCCACTGGTCTCCTTGCTGTTCCTAGAATATTGAAGTACATTTCTTTCTCAGGGACAGTGCCCTGGTGATTTCCTCTGGCTAGGACACTTCATCCTATCTAGTATTGGAACCTACTATGTCCATACAACCTTTACTCCAAGACCCTTTCCCTTTTTTCTTTTCCTCCAGAACCTTTACCACCATGGGGCATTCCGTCTATCTAGCTTTTGTCTGTCTCCTTACACTGCACCAAGGCTTCATGGGGCAAGGAGACTTGTGTGCGTGTTTTTTTGTTTGTTTGTTTGTTTTGTTTGTTTTTGTTTTTTACCATTCTATCCATAGTGATTGGCAGAGTGGACACTCAGATATTCTTTAAAACCTGTGAATAATGAATGGTGAGTGACTTTTTTTGACAGTTTATTAAATTCACAAACATCATAGTTACTAGCTTACAGAAATGCATATACCTGGTAAAAATATGAAGCACATGACAGGCTACCCAGTGAAAAGAAAGTCTCCTATGCCTCGCCATACATTGTTTTATTGTAAAGACAAAAAAAGGTTGTGTATGTATAAATATGTCTCTCCTCCACTTAAAGAATCATGTACAAACTGTCCTACACATTGCCATTTACACTGCTGTATTTTTTGGCCATTCTTCATCATTATACATATTATACATTTATATACACATATATTATGTATTAGTATATGATATGTAATGACCATGAATGATCTCCAAAATAAATAGCAATGTATGTAGGAGTGTGTGTATGCTATTTTTAAATATGTATGTGTATATCACTATGTATTGTGTATTATATAATATATAAACATATGTTTGTGTACATACTATAGTTTATCATATATATTACTTTGCAGTCATTCCTGGCTGATGGTTCAGTTTTAACTCAACATTTTGACTGATTATTTTTTCCTTTGCAGTGCCCACTGTTGATGTCTTTCAGATTTCTACAAAAGAGCGATTTGGATTGGGACATCAGCTAAAAAAGTAAGTTTCCCAAAAATAAAAAATAAATTTCTATTTTGCTCAACCCTCTCCCCCCATTCTTATTTAATAAGATCTTTTTGAAGTGAGTGCCTTCATTACCAAGAGCTGCTTCAATAATTTAGCTGGCAGAGCTCACCTTTAGAACAAGGCTGCATTCCTTCTGTTTGCCCACCCAGGTCCACTCTTCGCCCTCCAACACCCTGCCCTCTCCTGTGGAGGCTGATCTGTGGGGGTGCAGGTTCTAATGTGTTGCTGTGTCTCAAATGTGACCAATAGAGGAGGAAGCAAGTATAAGAAGGAAGTATTTATTGCCTTTGGTTTCCACCCTAAGAGGTCCCCTTGAGTTGACTAGTCCTTCAACTGAAGCTTTCTTTTCTACTCTAGGCCACAGCCTAGAGTAGTCTGTGTAGAGAGTCATGACTGACTCTCTCTCTTACTGGATTCTATTACTAGTTCCCCGTGCTTGCTCCTGGGGCCTAGAGGTGGGAACAATTAGTAGCCACCTGCCCTGGGCTATTGTACTGTCCTTAGTTCCTATACCTACATTCTTGAAACATTCCATCTTTAAATAAACCCTTTAGTTTCTCTTTGGACCTTGACTAAAGCAATGAATTTATAGTGTATAAACAAAATTATCCAGTCAAACTGACTTTTAAAACATACTAGCATGTAGTCACAATACAAATTTGTTAAATCCTATCCTATACGTCAGCTTTAAGAATTTGTATTACTGGAGAATTCCCAAAGGATTATTTATTCTTCTGAATATACAAATTTTACCTCAATTTATATTAAGAGAGATCATTATATTATTGTTATGTTTAAACACATCGTTCACACCCTCCATAATGATGCAGTTGACGTGTTCATCTATATTTTAATGGATTTTAATTGAGCAATGTTCCAAGAGAAAGTACTTTCAAAAACTTTATTTCATTGACTAAATAGGGAATTTATTGTGGTCATTTTACCTGACCATTACAGATGTAAAAGGAAGCTTATGTGGGGTAGGTATTAAGGGTTGTACATATTATAGAGCTCTAGAATCGTCTAAGCTTTTATGAGTTTACATTGCTCAAATGTGAGTTATGTGTGGTTTACATGTGAAAGGAAATTAAGATAAGGGAGTATTCTTGCAAATTCTTGCAGATTCCTACTGTTAGGTTTAAATATGATCATATAAAAATTGGATAATAAACCCTTAACATTTTGAATCGTACATCTCTAAAACTAAATTCAACTTACAACATACGGTTAGCACATAGAATGTGATCTCTATAAGGACTTTTGAGTCCTTATAAAAAGAAATATAAGACTGAGGAATTTTGTCAGTTTCCTGGACGGGGATGAGGTATGCTTTTCCAGTGGAACTGGTTTTGTTTTTTCAGTTAGATTTTGTTTTCTGTGTTGAGCCAGTATCTTACAGGTCTTGGAGCTAATGAACATGGAGCCTGCCCCTGTGTTACGCCATCCAAGTTGGCACATAATTTTATTCCCCCTCCTCTGATTTTCTTCCCTCTCACCCAATTTTCTTCCTGTTGTTAATTTTTTTTTCTATTTTGATGAATTTATTTTCATAGAGCAGTTTTAGGTTCACAGCAAAACTGAGGACAAGATACAGAGATTTTCCATATGCATCCTGCCCCCACAGGTGCATAGCCTTTCTGCTATCAGGGTGTCCTAGTGGAGTGATACGTGTGTTACAGCTGATGAACCTGTATTGACACCTGATTATCCAAAGTCCATGTTCTTAACTTTATGCACTTTTGTTATGCACCTAACCTTTTTTTTTTTTAGTGAAATGTTGATCCAAATAAGACAAGAATTATAAAAATGCAGAATATATAACTTTCTGCCCCTTAATGATGTCTGAGTATATCGTTTGGGCTCAGAAAAAGAAGTGATGTGTAAATTCCAACTCTGAAAAGTTAAGGAAAGCTATGTTCTATGTTTGCTGTTTAATCACTTTGTAGAATATGTAACATTTTATTAATATTTCCATCTAAGTGGTTAACATTTTAATTTTTTTTTTCAACGTTTATTTATTTTTGGGACAGAGAGAGACAGAGCATGAACGGGGGAGGGGCAGAGAGAGGGAGACACAGAATCGGAAACAGGCTCCAGGCTCTGAGCCATCAGCCCAGAGCGTGACGCGGGGCTCGAACTCATGGACCGCGAGATCGTGTCCTGGCTGAAGTCGGACACTTAACCGACTGCGCCACCCAGGCGCCCCAGTGGTTAACATTTTAAAAAAGGTTACTCTGTGGATAAATTTTAGTTGTATGGACAGTTTAGTATATGGACTAGAACTTTTTTTTAATGATTCCTGATAAATTTTAATCTAACGTACTTTTCCTTCATTGTAAATAACTGAGTTTGACTGTGATCCCTTCTGGTCTAAAATTACATGATTTCAAAACATCTGAACTCATCTTCACCATAAAGTAAAAGAGGAAACTGAAATATGTTTTCCAGAAACATATAGCAAGTTAGGAAGGCAGATTCAAAATCTAGCCCCTTTCTCATTATTGCTCTGGTTTGTTCTCGGCAGATAAGGAACACACCAAACTTTTTCTGTGATTCTTTATCTGGTTTGTTTCTGGCAACTAGACCAGCTTAACAATTGCAGCAGCAATGCTAATGCAATGCTTAATGTATGTCAGGCACTGTAGTAAGTACTTTACCTACATTAACTCACTTGATCTTCACCACACCCCTGTCCAGCAGGTTCTGTTACTATCCACACTTCCTAGATAATGAAACCGAGACCCAGAGAGATTAAGCAAGGTACTTGTGTCACAGCAGTAGAGTCAGAGTTTGACATCGGATCAGTATTTTTGACCCATCCACTAATCTGGTTTTCATATATTCGTAGCTGTCCCTTCGCTTTATATTAGACTTGGGATATATTTTCAGCACAGAATGAATATAGGGAGAATGTGAAGGCATTAAAAGAGGGGCCCCTGGAAGAGGGGCGCTTGGGTGGCTCAGTTGGCTGATCTTCTGACTCTTGATTTCAGCTCAGGTTTTGATCCTAGGGTCATGGGATCAAACCCAATATCAGGCTCTGCTCTGATACTATACTATATCTAACAGATATACTACACTATTTCTAAGAGATATAGTATAGTGATCAGCCTCATTAGAATCTCTATCATGCAAAGACTAAGTGTAACAGAGACCATGGAAATGATTTTAAACTGTGTATGACTTTATACTGAATTTCCATTGATCAAACTTAAGTTGTTTTTAAAAGGAAAAAAAGTGTTGCAAATCTTTAAATTTAAATACATACAAACATAAAATTAGGTTCAGATTCTTCATATGTTGAGTTTTCACTTAAAACAAAATTCATTTTTTTTAAATTTTTATTTAATTTATTTTTTAAATTTACATCCAAGTTAGTTAGCATATAGTGCAACAGTGATTTCATGAGTCGATTCCTTAATGCCCCTTACCCATTTAGCCCATCTCCCCCCCCCAACAAACCCTCCAGTAACCCTGTTTGTTCTCCATATTTAAGAGTCTCTTGTGTTTTTGTCACCTTCCCTGTTTTTATATTCTTTTTGCTTCCCTTCCCTTATGTTCATCCGTAAACCAAATTCAATTTATAACTGAGGTGCAAATCAAAATAAAGTGCTCAGATTTGGATTGTAAAATCAGTACGTTAATTTAATCTGATGCATGATACTGTTTTGCCGAAGTTGTTCTCACCACCACCGTCTGCATGTAGTGTGGGCTCCTTGAGTGCCTATTCCTTTTGAATCAGCACGAAGAAAGCAACAGTGTTGCCCTTGTGCACTCTCTATGCTCTATTTGAACTACCTTGGAACTTTTGTTGATGTAGCTGACTATGACATCATCTGGTGTAATTGAGCTTTGAAGTCTTTTTGTCTTTTATTATCAGCCGGTAGCAACTGTAGCAGCTCTCCGTGGTGCCAGCATAATAGTAAATACAAACACCAGTGCCAGGACTAAAATCTCATGGTGGCTGTCCATTATGCGGAGGTGGTCCTTACACCAGACGTGCTCATGCGTACATTTTGCACTACCATTAACTTTAAACACAGCATTAACTTTCCTGTAGAACAGTTAACTCCCGCCTTTTGAATCCAAGAGCATCTAGGGATCTGGGTGTCCAAGTTTAAGAACTAACTCGTTTTAGATGTTGAAGTCACACTTTAGAAATGCTAATGTAATGTGAAAATTGGAACTTTAGCTACTGACTCGTTATATTTTTGTTCCAGTTAGTCTATCAAGTAAAAGAGAAACATGGACTAGGTTTCTTAGGGAATGGCAATTTCCCATACGAGGAAAAGAATCTGAATCTCTCTGGTACAGAGGGTGGGGTCACTGGGGATTGCAGGTTAGGTACAGGGAAAACCGAAGACCCTAATATTACTATTACGTTTAAATCTTGCTGAAATCTTGAGTGAAAAAAACTTCAAAAACTAAGTGCAAAATAAAGATTTCCATTGGTCTGAACTCTAAGGTGAATTTACTGCAAATTTGGAATCCTGCATCATTGACTGCAGCTCTGTCCCCTTCTTCCTCACCACCTCTGTGGCTTAGGAAGACCCCAACTTATTCCATAATGGCTGTTTCTTCTAAAGATCGGTGTAGGAAGCCTGAGGTTATACATTCTGATGATCTGAGTTAATTTGATAAAACCCGAAGGGTCTTGAGAAATTGTCTTAGTGCTAAGGGTCACACCTGTCCCTTTTGAGTGAGTTGCTAACATGGGTCAGTCCATATTGGATCAGCTCTGCCACTCATTAACCAGGTGAAATTGGGCAGATTTCAACCATTAGGCTTATTTGTGAATAGTAGCTACTGTCTGGGGGTGTTAAGAGTTAAAAGAGAAAAATAATCTGTGTATAAATTACTCCTTGATATATTATAAATGGTAAATATTGGTACCATTTTTTGCTCCAAAAGCAATCTGTGTTAGAAATAACTGAGAGGAGGGGCGCCTGGGTGGCTCAGTCGGTTAAGCGTCCAATTTCGGCTCAGGTCATGATCTCGGGGTTTGTGAGTTCGAGCCCCGTGTCAGGCTCTGTGCTGACAGCTCAGGGCCTGGAGCCTGCTTTGGATTCTGCGTCTCCCTCTCGAGATCTCTGCCCCTTTCCCACTCATACTCTGTCTCTCGAAAATAAAGAAACACTAAAAAAAAAATAGATAAGTAAATAATAATAATAATAAAAAAACTCTGAGAGCTGAGAGGAACATGAAAAGTAGGCAATACTGAATTGACTTTTGAAAGAAAATCAAAATGCTTATTGTATACATAATGTTTAAAATATTATGTCTACTTTAGTATCAGCCTTAAGGGACCCTCCACCGTTTCCACCTGAAAGGTGAGATACCGAGAAGTTGTCGCAGCCTGGGAGCCTCAGAAAACAGTGCTGTGTCCACGTCCACAATGGACGTTCCAGAATTCTTTGCCATAAAACAGTGATGTGCGGTGGTCTCAACTTAGAAAATACTGAGATCAGAGTTAGCAAATTCCTGCTTTATGATAGTAACTAAAAGCTTTTAGAGACACACACATTTTTTTTTAAACCACACTGTATTTAAAGGTGAATGGGCTGTGCTGAAAGATAAGCTTTGCTGATTATGTATTTCTCCATAGAGTCAGTTTTGCATGGTTTATTTTTACTTATGGTTTTTGCAGTTTCATTTTATTTCCCTTTTTATGAAGAAAATTGCATAAGCAAATCAAGTGAAAAGAAATTGACTTTACTTGTATCTTAATAGATAAAAACATAATTACTATCAAACATTTTTTTTTTAATTTTTTTTTTCAACGTTTATTTATTTTTGGGACAGAGAGAGACAGAGCATGAACGGGGGAGGGGCAGAGAGAGAGGGAGACACAGAATCAGAAACAGGCTCCAGGCTCTGAGCCATCAGCCCAGAGCCTGACGCGGGGCTCGAACTCAAGGACCGCGAGATCGTGACCTGGCTGAAGTCGGACGCTTAACCGACTGCGCCACCCAGGCGCCCCTCAAACATTTTTTTTAAGACTGTGTTTCTGGCACCAACAAAAGAATTGTGAATTTTTTTTGGCTGAAGAACTTCAGCTAAAGTTGGTCCTAAAGGCTGGCATTCTAAATCTCTCTCTCTCTCTCTCTCTCTCTCTCTCTCTCTCTCTTTGAGAGAGAGATAGAGGGAAGGGCAGAGAGAGAGAGGGAGAGAGAGAATCCCAAGCAGGCTCTGCACTCACAGTGCAGAGTCTGGTGCGGGGCTTGATCCCATGAATCACGAGATCATGACCTGGGCCAAAATCAAGAATTGGATGCTTACCCGACCGAGCCGTCCAGGAACCCCTAAATTTCTTTAAAAGAACATCCTTTTATCATTTATGTTATTAATCCTATCACAGTAATTAATGAGTTATTAACCAAAATGGCAGTCAAATCATAGAAATTTTCTGTATAATGCTTTCCTACATTTGGAGACATCTTGTATGACTCTAAATTAGAATCTCACCAATTACTGTGCATTTATTTTCCTTTGAGAAATACATGCTGTACGTAATACAGAAATCTCGTATTAAATCACCTTGGAACTGTGATAACAGACTTACTTTGGATTGACAGAATCATGCAGACATTTGTTACACAGCAGTGGAAACAGAGCAAAGAAAAATCCAATTGCCTGCACAGTAAGAAGCTGTCTGACAAGAAGGTGAAGTCCCCCCTGCATTTATTTACTACCTTGCGCAGGTAGGTAACAGATGACTTCACCATGGTCTTAACGGAATTCTGGGCGTGTGATGCTCCATGATTATTGTACTTCAAGCATTCTTTGTATAGCTGTGGCGTCTGTTTATTTTCTGTGTGACTTCAGAGAACAGACTGTTACATCCATTCCATCAAAAACATATATTCATTTCTACATTTAGAGTTTTTGTTCTCTTAACGTGAGTTAAATATACTAAAATGGCATTCTTCGTTTTCTAGTCACATAGAGTTTTCTGTACCAAAATTGCTTCTGTATAGAGCTCTGAGATAGATAGGAGGGGGAAAAAAAACCCTGATAATCTTGCTTTGCTTTCCAGGAAAAAATATAATTCAGTTCAGTCCATGTGATCCCTCTACACATACTGTTGGTTTCAGTTTGAGCTGGATGGGCTGTATTTAAAGCAAAGCGGTGTTTGTAGCAGAGTTGAGGTGATAAAGCCTCACAGGTCTTTTCCATGGTGTGTTTTACTCGTGATTTGCCCTGTACTAATTGTTGTTCAATTTTGAAGGTCGCCAAGTTATCCTCCCCCTGGTTGTGGTAAAAGCAAATCCAAGCTGAAATCTGAGCAAGATGGAATCTCCAAAACACATAAGCTGCTGCGGAGGACTTGTTCCAGTACCGTCAAGGCTGACGACGTGTGCTCCAGCAAGTCGCACAGGACCTTTGGTCGCTCCCTGTCCAGCGACCCCAGGGCTGAGCAGGCGGTGACGACAATTAAGTCGCACAAACTCTTGAACCGGCCCTGCCCTGCAGCTGGCAAGCAAGAGGACTGCCTGGCGCTGAAGTCGCATAAACTGTTGACTCGGTCTTGTTCTGGAGATCCGCGATGTGAGCACAATGCCAACCTGAAGCCCCACAAACTGTTGAGCAGGTCTTACTCCAGTAATCTCAGAATGGAAGAGTTGTACGGACTGAAAAACCACAAATTGCTCAGCAAGTCTTACTCCAGCGCTCCCAAGTCATCCAAGACGGAGCTTTTCAAGGAACCTAACGCAGAGGGCAGGAGGCTCTCTCTTACCTCAGGGCTTATTGGTATCTTAACACCCTCTTCGTCATCTTCCCAGCCTGCTGTGCGTAAATACTTTCATCTTGAGTTCGTAAACGTTAGCTAGGGTGCAGGAGAGATTTTTGTTTTTGTAAGATCTGGTAGAGGAAAGAAGATGTTTTGTCGTTCTTTTTTTTTTTTTTTTTTTTTTTTATTTCCTCCTTTTGCTTTTTGGAAATCATTTGGCATACCAGACACATGCAACTGGTGCTGGAATGTTCATTTTGATTCTGAAAAAATAAATGTAGCTGTTGATTTAAGGTCTAGTCCAAATTCCTATTATGGTCATGAATGCTGCTAAAAATGGAAGGAAGCCCGTTGGATCCACAAAGCCTATCCTTTTAAGCAAACATAGCATTTTAATATTTTATCAAGTAGGTTTATCTGTTCTCTCGTTTTCTTACATTAGTGATGGAGGACAGAGTTTGACTAATAATTAAATTCAGAGTAGTGTCCTTCCTGTTATATATAATATATAACATATTATATAATTATATAATATATAATAGTATATAATATATTTATATTTAAATTATTTGTATATAAGTAAATGTGCATATATAAAAATATTATAGGGATATAAATATATATATTAGGAAAACTTCACCTGTGAATCGTAACTTGTAAAGAAAAGAAACACTTGCATCCGTATCCCAGAGCTTCACTTAAAGCTGCTCTCAGTGTCTGCTTTATAAAACTGAAGTCACTTTATCCTGAAGTTTTTCTGGGGGAGATGGGGCCAGAAGGTAACTGTATTAACACTTAAGCCCTTTGGTGTGGAATTTATTGGGAGTCAGTCTTACACGAAATTTACCTCTAGAGTGATCAACATTACAGCTGATTTCAGATAAAGAAACAAACCTATTTTATGTATATTAATTACATAACATAGTTGATTAAAAATGTTTTCTTTTAGTAAACATGTGTGTATGTTGGGGCAAGGGTATATCTAACTCTTAACCATTAATATGGATACAGCTAGCCATAGATGAAATTGAAAACAAATAAGATACGTTTGCAGAAAGTTGTGCTGCTCTCATATAGATTTATTTCTAAAATTACATTGTAAATGATACCGTAAAATTATATTTGTGTTAAGAAAATGTATTTAAGTATGCTGATAATTTTAGGTGGACATCCTTAAAAGCCCATTTCTTAACAGAAGTAGACAGTAAGGGCATATAGAAAATAATGTCACAGTGGTGCATACTAGAAAGTTTCTTCCCATGGTAGTTTCACCTAAGAAAGAGAATTTCACATATTCTGTAAGAGAAAATGTCTTCCTGTCTTCCTGTATGATTAAGCCTAATACAGTACAATAGTTTAATGTTGTACCCCTTCAGCAACTGTCTAATTTTTCCTTGGAAGAATAATTCTCATTGTAAAATGAGCTTAAAGTAGTCTAAATGAGGAGATGGGAGCATTTGACGATGAGTACCAGAGGAAACGAGCTTTTGTGTACATTTAAAAATACCATTTTTACTAGAGATCAGAAATTAAGAATACTATTCATTTGGCTTAGACAAGACTTGCAGTAGTAATGGCAGAAAGTATATTATAATAAAGAAATCCTAAAGTCTTGATGTCATAATCACTGATTTAACTCCTGTAACAGGTGATCTTAGATAACACTTGTATTCACTGTTGCAAAAAGTCAAAGGCGTAATTTATATATGTTCCAAGTTAAAGAATTATTTTCTTCTTTTACTTTTCTTTTTATAGCCAAATGGTGCCAAATGCATTCCAATACGAGATCGCGGCTTCCTAGTGCAGGTAGGAGCCAAGCCATCCATTGCAGAAATATTTTAGCTTTTGATGGGTTTCCAAATTATTTATGAACTTGACTTCATTATTTCTCTTTATTGTTTTATCCAGACAATTGAGTTTGCTGAACAGCGGATCCCTGTATTGAATGAATACTGTGTGGTTTGTGATGAGCCACACGTGTTTCAAAATGGCCCCATGCTTAGGGTAAGTTCTCATTGATAGAATACCATTGTTGATACAGAATATAAATGAAAAAAGGTTGAGACATAAAAATAAATAAGTAAATAACTTTATTTATAGCAAATGCTCTCCTACTGAGGAAATTATTTAATACACATAATGGTATAATTTTGAACAAGTGAATCACTATTTCTGAAGGAGTCTGTGAAACAGCAAGTAGTTTCATATTAGTAAAATATTTCTTACTGTATTTCTTATATGTGCCTATGTATCATCTTTCTTTCCTTCCATCTATTTTTTATCTATCTGTATCTTTATTAATATCAATAGACATAGATCTAGATGGATAGAGAGATACATATAGATACAGGTGTATGTATACAGGTGTATATATACAGGTGTAAGTTTGAAAACAGTGTTTCTTCAAACCACACAATTTAAGATGCTTGAAGGGTAGAGGTTAGAAGAGGTATGCAGTAGTATGCATAGAGTCAGAATAAAGATTTCAAGAAATGCCAGATCACTGACACATTTGGGGTATTATTGAAGGAGTATAGAAATAAGAATCAATGTGTATATGTGCATTTTGGGAGGAATTATCCAATCTCAAGTAGGTTTTTTTTTTTTTTGCAATTTTTAAATTGAGATAAAATCATATAACATGCAATTCACTATTTTAATGTATACAGTTCAGTAGGTTTTGGTGTGTTCACATGTGTTGTGCAGCTATTATCACTGTCTAATTCCAGAACATTCCATTCCCCCCCCCCCCACAAAAGAAATCCATAACTGTTAGCCGTCATTCCCAATTTTTTTACTCTCCTCCTCCCCTGACAACTGTTAAACTATTTTCTGTTTCTATAAATTTGCCTCCTCTGGACATTTCATATAAATGGAACCATACATTATGTGGCCTTTTGTTTTTGTCTTCTTTCACTTAATATAATGCTTTCAAGATTCATCCATGTAGTGTGTACCAATACTGTATTTCTTTTTATGGTGTAATAATTTTACATTGTATGGATGTATGACATTTAATGGATATCATTAAATGATATTTTCATCATTTCATGGAATTGCTGGGATATCTGTTAATTCTGACTGTTTGAGGGACTGCCAAACTATTTTTGACAGTGGCTATACCATTTGTATTTCCACCAGTGGTATAAGATGGCTCCAGTTTCTCCACATCTTCTCCAGCACTTGCGATTCTCCTTTTTAATCCCCCCAATAGCCATCCTAGTGTGCGTGAAGTGGTATCTCGTTGTGGTTTGGATTTGCGCTTTACCTAATGATTAGTGATTTCGAGCATCTTTTCTTGTGCTTATTGGCCATTTATACATCTTTTTGGAGAAATGTCTGTTTTTATCTGTCGCCCATTTTTAATTGGACTATTTCTTTTTTGTTGTTGTTTTCAGAGTTCTTTTTTATTTTTAAAGTTTATTGATTTATTTTGAGAGAGAGAGAGCATGCAGTCATTCAGGAGAGGAGCAGAGAGAGAGAGGGAGAGAGAGAATCAATCCCAAGCGAGCTCCATGCTCTGCGTGAAGCCCGACGCAAGGCTCAATCCCATGACCGTGAGATCCAGAGCTGAAATCCAGAGTCAGAATTCAACCAACTGAGCCACCCAGGCACTTTAAGAGTTCTTTATATATTCTGAATACTAGATTTTTGTTAGATATGTGATTTGAAGATATTTTTTCCTATTTTATGGGTTTCCTATTCACTTTCTTGATAGTGTCCTGTGACACGCAAAAATTTTTAATTTTTATGTAGTCCATATTTATCAATTGAACTGTTGCCTAATTCCTTTTAAGTGTTTTATAGTTTCTATCTTACAGTTAAGTCATTGATCCTGTTTGAGTTAATTTTTGTGTATCGTGAGATTGGATTTTAACTTCATGCTTTTGTATGTAGTATCCAAATGCCTCCACACAGTTTGTGGAAAAGACCTTCTTTCGCCATTGAATGATATTGTCACCCTTGTGAAAATCATTTCACTGTAGATGTATTGGTCTCTTGCTGGACTCTTAATTTTATTCCACTGACTTGTATGTGTGTCCTTGCACCTGTACTACACTATCTCGTTTACTGTAGCTTTGCATTCAGTTTGTCAGCAAGAAGTACGAGTCCTCCAACTTTGTATTTCTTTTATAAGATTGGATTTCACTATTTGGAGTACCTTGCATTTCTGTATAAATTCTAAGGTCAGCTTGTCCATCTCTGCCAAAAAAGGCAGTTGGAATGGCTTTGCACTGGCTCTGTAGGTCAATTTGGGAAGTATTCCTGAGTTAACAAAAATTGTAACCCTTCCAGTCCATAAGGAACACAGGAAATTTTTCCATTTATTTAAATTATACCCTATTTTGTAGTTTTCAGTGTTCGGGTCTTGCACAACCTTGGATAAGTTTATTTTTAAGTTAGTTCATTCTTTGTAATGCTCTTGTCACTTCTCATCAACATTGTGCTAGAGGTTATAGCCAGGGTGGTTAGGTAAGCAAAATTATTCGAAGGTATCCAGGCTGTAAAGGAAAAACGAAAATGATCTCTGTTTGCAGATGACATGAGCGCTGTGTGCTAGGCACTGTGTGTACATATTTTGCATATTGCTTTCTTATTTGATTTTCACAGAACTCTTGTGGTTTGTGTATTTTTGTGCTCATGGTACAAATAAGGGGATTAAGATTGAAGGAGGTTAAGCAGTTTGTTCAGCATCACTCAGCAAGTATGGGTAAAAGCTGGACTTTGAACCTGCTTCTGCCTCATTTCAAAACTGCATCATAAATGCTTATTGAAAACTTCCTAAGTATAAGGCACCATGCTAGATTCTGCTGTACTTTTTAAGAGAAATTTGTCCTGTTCTTGGGAATATGTTTGAAAAGACAAATTACAAAGCATAGAAAGAGACAATTATATTAGAACTTGTTTGCATTTCAAGATTTAGACTCTAAAAAAACATAGAATAGCCATTTATGATCATAATCATCTGTCAAATTGTATGATATATTTGTTTTATTTTACTTGTTTATGGGAAACCTATATAAAAAGTTTTTCTTGCTACTCATACACTATTTTTTTTATCAGTTAGCTTTTCTCTCGAAGAGATACAATGTTATTCTGAAACCTAAGTTAACTAAATTAGCATTTGTTTGTTAAATATTTGTACAAGTTTGTTATTTTTGTGTGATACATGGAAATGTGTAGTTACAATGAAAATAAGGAGAATGCTTTGGTCACGTTAGTTTATCCCATTCAGGAGGTCCATTTTTACTTTGTTAATGTTCCTCTGTGGATCCTGATCTATTGCTTGATCTAGGGCAATGCAATCTTCACTCCAGAAGATAATAGTAATGTTATTAATGGCACATGCTTTTGAGTGCTTTTTATGTGATTGTGTGTTGAACATGTTTTACATGGATTATTTAATTGAATCCTCATCATAATCCTATGAGGTGGGTATTATTATTACCCTTGCTTCACAGATGAATAAACCAGTAATTTATTTAATATCAACACTGCTGGTAAGCGATATACACAAGATTCGAGCCCTGGGACAATGGCACCAAGCCATGGTTCTTAACCGTAATGCTATTCTTGACTCCCCACGTATTTGAACTGACTACTTTTACATCCTGGAAATTTACTACACATTTCACTGGGAGTTTGCTCTTTATGGTTCAGTTAATGGCAGCTCATTCCTATAGTAAGTGATAGAAATATCCTAATTGCTATTGGTATTTTCTGCACCTTGCTCCCAGTTTTGTTTTACCTATTTTATTCTGCACCAGTGAAGTTGGCTGTTTCTTTGTAGAAGTGGAAGGGCTTTTGTAAATAACGATGTTTTCTAAATAAGTATAGCTAGCTATCAGCTGGTTTTCTTTTGCTGTGATTCAGACTGATACTAAGGAAATCAGAAAACTTACTTGGGTTTTTTAAATAGTTAGATAAATGACAGATGAAATCAGGTCAGGAAATGAAAGTCAAAGGAATATCTGATCTTCAAAGGAAGAGAAGTAAACAGAAAGAACTGGCTCTTGATTGTTTGAAAACAGATGTTGAACCTCAATCAGGCATACTCATTTATTCTGTATCTTTCTTATATTTACATTGCAGTACGTTCTACTGTAATTTTAATAGAAATGTGTAAAATTATTACAAATAAAATTTCTTATGGGGTATAAATTGTTAAAATGACTCACTGACCGTTTATTTAGCTTAAAGGACGCATTACAAGCTGCAGTGGCTCCCAGAGATGTAAAGAGGATAAGTTATATCCCATTTGGTGATGAAACAGGTTAGATAAAACTCAGGCTTCCATAGAATTCTGTGCCTAATGTTCATTATGTTTGTTAGACTTTTCTCTTTCCGAAGCCAAACTGTGTCTTCTATTTTTTCCCTTTTCTCTAAGCATGATTATTTATCGGATTATATAAGTCCTCTTTTACTACTATTCCCCAGAAGTCCTAACATTTTGGTCACTACTTGTACTATTCTGTCACTTTACTCAGAGGTCTGGGTAAGCATGTCATACCTTCTGCAACACAGGTAACTACACTGTTTACTTATTTAGAAATACCACAAGGCTCCACTTAACGCTTTTGTTCACGGAGGTTATAAATATCACTCCCAGGCATGAGAGCTGACTTGTAATACTTTGAATCTGCTTAAAATTCATATTAACATCACAAGGATTGTCCAGTCCTAGATTTTCCTGGGTTTTTCCATTTGACAATGCAGATTGGATTATGATCAGAAAACCCAACCCAAACCAAATCATTGGTTCTCTACATTTTGAAATCAATTAGAATGTTAATGCAGCAAACTGGGAGATGCTTTAAAATGCTTTAAAAACACTTCATCAAGAGTTTTTGGAAAATGCGAAAACAAGAACTTACTGCCAGACTCACCAGTGTTTTATCAGCCTCTAACTTCCCAGTGCCCTTGTCTTTTTGTTATACTCACTCTGACCACCATGAATCAGTGCAACTGTTGGTCTTCTTTGAACCCTGCATAAGGGCTGCTGAACCCGGTGGGAGAAAACCACGTACGTGGTTGTGCGGGTTAGTGTCCCTACAGTTGGAAGTTTTTATCACTGGTACTTGGCAATCATTCTGTGTGTCCCTGCTACTAGACTTTCCCATTTCCCTGATCAACATGGGATGTGAAAAGTAGGATCTCATTCTCTTCTCCTGTCATGTGAAAACGTTCCACATTGCTTGCTCTGGATGGACTGATTAGGCCCCAGATCCCGCTTCATTATTCAAGAACAACGCCCAATCCTATTATAGCAAAGTCAGCTGAGAAACCCGACAATCTGTATTTTTGTGTATCCAGCCTTGCCGTGGACCTTAGACAAATGTTTGTAGCTTAAGTTCTTATTTTCAGAATGAATGAAAAAGCACATCCTGTTCCCTCCTCACCCCATCCTCCCATCCCCCGCTCCATGTCTCAGAAATAAGATTTCAAGTTTTGAAATACAACCTAAGATAAATAACAATTACACCAAAAAAAACCTTTAATTCAGAAATATGATTTTTTTTAACATCCAAATTGAGTAGAAGAAATTGATTTTAAAGCTCAAACAACAACTTAAGTTATATGAGACAGTGGAGAAGCTTAAACATGCATGGGCCTATCTTACTATAAATCTGTCTTGATCTCTGTGGGATCCCTGTCTTTCTTAATGGACAGTACCTCCCCCCCCCAGCCCCCCACCCCACCTTGTAATGTGTCTCTCTTCCAAACCATGAAAAGAACCTGAAGCATAAACTATAAAGTCAGAAATACAAAGAGCTGAAGGCTTGTAGGTTTTGAGTTTCCAGTAGATATTCTTCATTATTCTCATATGTGTTCAATACTAGTTTTTTAATTTTGAATTTTTATTTGCTCTGCTCATTTCTTTTTTAGCAAGAACAGTTTTAACAATAAGTTAAGGGTTTGGATAAACTATGGATATAAAAATAAAAACACTACTTCATAATAAGCCTCAATGAAAATTTTCATTAAAAACCTATTTTTGTACACACACTGGGTTACAACACACAGAAGACATGGCTTATCCAAGTTCCCTAATGCTGTTAATAGTGAAACAGCTCTGTATACCTCAGGGGGAGTTTTATGAACCTTATCTTACTTGGTTCCCTTTCTCGGTCCTCTGCTCTACTTGATGCGCTAGGTGTGATTTTTTTTTTTTTTTTAAATCCCCGTTTACAGATAGGAACACTGAACTGTGCACATGTGCCTCAACTGGAATAGTAACCAGTTCCTGGTTACTGTTCTGTATATTGGGCTTACATGAAAAACTTTGTTTAAACAGAAAGAGGATGGCAAAAAAGGGTTTGAAAACCACTCACCAACACCATGCCAAGTATAAATACGTAGCTAGATTCTTTTGAGGTTTATCATTTCTATTTTCAGTGGGAAGTGATTTAAATTCATTCAAAACACAAAGTTTCTACAATGCAGTTAGGTTCTAAAATATTCTTTAGGGCTTAACCATTCTTGAAATACGTTTTCACTGCTCACATTTAAATTGTTTTGATTCAAACAAAATTTAAAATGTATGTTAAAAACTTCTGAAATAAATCTCAGGGACACATAAAATTCTCCATGTGTTTAAATGGTGCGTAATGAATATTATATTGCAAAAAAAATTATGTATGTGCAATGGCAAGAAGGACTTGGCATGGTTTTATAGTTTAAATTATAAGAACTAACTGCTGGAGGGCAATATAATAACATGAAGAATAGGCAATATTTTGCAAATGGAAACTTATTGATTGTAAACTCAAAAATAAACTCATAAATGTTGTACACATTTGGTTATGTTTAGGCTTATACACTTTGTATTAAAGTGTATGTGTAGTAATAGCTATTAAATGATCATGTTCTATTTTTTTAAATATATTTTTGTAAATTTGGGGGCTTATTTATTTATTCATTCATTCATTCATTCATTTAAGTAATCTCTAAACTCAGTGTGGGGCTTGAACGCACAACTTCGAGATCAAGAGTTGCATCCTCTACCGACTGAGCCAGCCAGATGCCCCAACTATGTTCTATTTTTAATTAATGCTAGAGTTTTTTGTATAAATAGTATAGTAATAGAATTTGTTGGCGGCAGGGGATTAGCTGAGAGTCAGCTAACGTGAAAGATCGCTAATCCACTATATAAATCTTATGTTTCAATAGGGAAGAATGATTTGGTTTCTCTTTCTTGAATAAGATATCCTTTCTGTGAGCAAGGAGATGTCTAATCTTGATTTACTTAATATGACTTGAGAACTTTCTTTTAGGGTGCTATGTTGTGTTGACATTTTGAATTTCTCAAATAAAATGTGGATAAACATGGGAGAAGGGAAAGTCAAAGGCTTACAAAACCTAGTTTGTAAATGTTTATCTCAAAATGAAACTGATTTATGTCTCAAATACCATCCTGAACTTTCTAGTAAAATGAGCAATAAATACAGAAGTGTTAGTTTAACAATTCACTAGTATTTACTTAGGTCAGTGTTAACCTATATATATGTTAATCGCCATATTACTACCTCTATATTTGCCATTTTACAAAAAGGGAAGATCAAATTATTTTTGTAAGAATGTAATGTGCAGTTTTAATTTTTTAGTATGGTAGCAAAATTTCTTTTTCCCCCGAAATTTTCTAGGGTACCTGATTTCCTTCTTCAGACAGTTGCAGAAACAGGATATTCCTATAAATCAGCTTTATACATTTTAATCAAAAAGATGCAAGAAAGGAAAAGAAGTGTCCATAAAGTAATCAAGCCATAGCTTTATCATTAGGATTGTAGGTTTATTATTTAAAGTAATGGGTCCATTGGTAAGTCCACGTGATTAGGAGATTTGGATATAATCATGTCTGGGAGGGGGATGAAAAGGATGCAAAAGAAAACATTGAAATGTTTATATGTTACCCAAGATAAAAAAAATAAGAGATCAGGGGTGGAACTGGTAAAAATTATTTGAGACACAAACCAGGGTGGTGCATGAATATCTAGGATTGGGGACAGAGTGGGCTGATAGAGATATGTAACAATAACTATTATATTTTTTCCTTAAGTCTTTGAAATTTTTCCTAAGTTAAAATTATAAAAATTTATCCATCCAGTCTAATATAGGACGAAGTATTTTCTTTCATCTTTGTTTCTGTTGTTTCAAGCAATAATCAGGTACTGAAAAAGGTAGTTTCTTTTGTTTTAAAACATTTCCTGGAATCTGTGTGTGAATACACATGTACATGCATCCATCCATCCATCCATACATACATACATATTTGGATGATCACAAAGTAAGTGTAATTGATTACCAAAAGTTCAAACGACAAAATAAAGCCAATTGTTACTCATATACACTAAATAAGCTTTATCCTATTTTTAGTTTTGGGATTGATGGATTTTATTCATAAAAATGTATGGTTATTTGACAAGAGTAGTATTAAAAACACCATCTGTGTCCCTGTCTACTTCCTCAGAGAACACTGTTGGGTAGCTGTTACATGAATAAATTCCTAGGGCTCTTTATGATTGCCACAGTTTTATCTTCCCCCTGGACCCTCGGTGGTATACTGTTCCACTATACTCAAACACCAGTATAATGTTTGGCACTACACTAAATGTACAATCAGTAGTTTCTGTTACTGTTTCAGACCATGTCATGCTCCTAGAAAGTGAAGAGAAGAAACAATCCAATGTCTCTGGGAAAAACTGAGTTTGAGACGTACATACACATAGGTAAACACACAAAAAAATAGAAGATAAAAAATAGGTTAAACACTTAGGTAAACAAAAAATTGCAGAAATTGAACAGTCTGCTCTAAGTATATCCATCTATGTATAGCAGTGTGTATATAGCTTGAGTATGGATGAAGAACTTTCTCCAATTAATTTGCTCTCATAGGTAGTTTTTCCTGCTGTTTCTGAAATGCACTTTTAAGGAGGACAAAGGAAATATATCAGTTCCTTTTTCCCTAAAATTCTTTGGGGAACGTCAACCAGAAATGTTTGTGATTGGTCATGCTTATGTACACAAAGCCACCACTTGGGCCCTTTTTGAATATAAAGGGTGGACCACAAAGGACCATACTTCCCCCTGGATAAGCACTAGCCCAAGTGGTCCTCAGAAATGAGTGAGCTTAGAAGCAGTGGCACTAACAAATGCCTTTTGTCTGCTAGGCAGCGGCACCATGGATTGTATCGTTAGGCTTCATCAGCTACCTAATGCAATGTAACTCGGGAGATAAGATAAATCAAACAGATGACACTATATTAGATTTGAAAGATGAGAACTTTTCCAAAGCAATTGCAGAGTGTATATTTCAGTGCTGTTGACTTCAGGAGGTTATTGAAGTCACAAGTCTTTGCACCAAAACCAATCTTTCAAGAGCTGGGTAACAAGTAAGCAGAGTCATGCTTATTTCTTCCAAAGAAAACTACCTAGGGAAAAGTGGAATTCTTCTCTGTATATTTGTTTTACATAGCTGTTTGGTTTAACCTCATTTTTTTAGGATATCACCAGCTTAGGTGTCTGCCTTTTTTTATACATCTCAGATACAAATGTGTATTAAGCAGGAGAGATGTATTTTCCATCTACTGCTAAAAAGTTCTGAGTGCAAGTGCCTACAACTATTTGAAATGGATTTCTTATATTGGTGACTCTGTATCACTAGGTGATTATTTACCAATTGTTACCTAAATTTAGAAATGTATTAAACCAAGTCATAGGATTCCTTTCTTTTTAACATTCTGAAACTTTTGCGTTATTTATTACATGGAATGCCATAAATTTAATTTAGGAATTGGGCAATGGAAAACAGTGGTGTAACTCATTCCCCTTTCTTTTGTAGCCCACTGTGTGTGAACGAGAGCTTTGTGTGTTTGCTTTTCAAACCCTGGGAGTAATGAATGAAGCTGCTGATGAGATAGCAACTGGAGCTCAGGTAGTAACACGCAATACTAATTATTCCTTACTCTGATTTGAAAAACTTGTTCTGACCTACTAGTTTCCTTCAGTCTTTTGGACAAATATTTGATAGTTTGACGTTAGATTAAAAAACAACCCGCATTTGATTTGTTTTTTAATAGATAGAAACTCAATTTTGCTATCTTTATCTAGTGAGTGTTTTGTCATTTTGCCATTGCCAAGGGAAGAAATTAAACCCACATTCTGTTGTTTAAAAAATAATTGTGATTCTTTCACGGTGAAGTTGAAATATTGAAACACTTGCACATGTATTCTGTAAAATTTATTTGTAAAGTTATGGTACCATAAAATGGAATCTAATTTATTCCTGAAACTTAGGTGAAAAGATAAAGGGCAGAACATATGAGAAAAAGCATCCAATTTTACAATAGCAGTGTTTACGACATAGGAAGGCAAATAAATATAAAAAAACAAATGAAACAACTTGGAAGTAGAGAAGCATTCCATGTTTCCAGAAGGAAAAAAATATTATAAAGATGATAGAATTTACTTGTTGCAATTCTATCAAAATTTCAATTGATTTTTAAAATTTATTCATGGAACCTAACTTTCTAATAAATCTATAAGAAAAAAAAATCAGACAAAACTTAAAAAAAATTATGAATGTTAATTAAGGGAGGCTAGACCAAGCACATACAAAAACATATTATGCAATCTTATATTAAAAAAAAAATACAGTACTGGCAAAGAATAGAATGTCAAATGATCCCCAAAACAGATCTTGTTAAAAATATACTTAATATACTTTAATGAAGGCATCATACAAAGTTGTAAAGTAAAAATGATTTAGTAAGTGGGTACAAATGGCCTGCAATGTGGGGTGGGGGGAACAGATTAGCTCTTTGCACTGTTGGTAAAAACAAATTCCCAATGGCCTAAAGAGTTTTGTTTGAAAATACCGTATACATACTAGAGGAGAGTAAACAGTGTGTCAGGTTTATTCGTTTATGCAGTTTCAGGAAAGCATAAAGGAAAACACCGGCATCGAGTCCATACATATTTTACGTTTTCTACTTGAAAGAATAGTGAACATTAAGAGAGAATTATGAAAAAGTTTATTTTCCCTCAAACATAAATGTATAAAAGCACATAAAAATAGAAAACCATGAAGATCATAACGGATTGTTAGAGGAAATGAACGCACGATTCACAAATATGGACCTATAGTTAGTAAAGAAACATAAGAAAATATTCAGCTGTATTTGAAATCAACAGGAAAATAATTGTGAAAAGAATTGCCAATCTGTCATTTTTAAAATTTGCAAAGATGAGTGGGAACAAATGATCATATAACAGACACTCTTTCAACAAGTACTGAATGCCTGCTATGTAACAGGCATTGCACCAGATGGAGGTACAACAGTAAATATGGATAGCGCAGGCCTCATGGATTTACGTACATTCTGTTAACCTGATTATCTCACTGATTAACTAAACTGAGATATATCCACCTGAAGAAATATTAAGGAAAACAGCTGTGATGTAATGAGTTACAAATGAGAAATAAAAATACAACCAGTATAACAGTGATTGTATGTCATGTGGCAACAAAGATTCCATGATTAAATTTCAGAAATACAGATTGATATTGCCCCTACACCCAAAATGCACGTGTTTGCATATTAAAGGCTCTCAGAAAAACCGAAACTAAGAAAATGAGTAGCCACTACTTTAAGGGTTTCTCGAATGTGTCTGACCATGTGGCTCTTTTGTTTTCTTTCCTTACTATTTTTTTTAATGTGAAAGTTTTTCTTACCAACTGGAACTAATATTGCTCAAAGAAAAGATAGTTTAATATATGCCATTTATAGCTAGGTAAAGATGATTAAGCTTTACACAGGTGTGTGTGTGTTTGTGAATATACATACATGTATTTTACATGAATAGTGTGTGTGCATGTGTGTGTGTATTTATATACGTATATATATAATAGGTATATGTATGTATGTATATAAAATTATTTGAGTGGTAAAATTAACATTTGTGCATTTTAGTGGATGTAAATTGTCCCTCAGACAATTTGAAAAGGGAAGGATTTAAAGCCTGGAAATAAGAAATAATGGATTAGAAAGAAAATTAACATCATGCTAACAAGTAGGCTAGGCTGATAAAATATTAGATTAGGTGCTTCCCCCCCCTTATTATACATACATCTCAAAAAATAATGTTTGTTAAAGAGAGATTAATTTTGGGTTATACATGATAGTTATAAAACACAATTACTCGGCCATATCAACTTAGTGGTTCTACTCCAAAGTGGAATACTCTTTTCACTACTTTAAAGCAAGTACCCAATATTCTGTTTATAATTCCAAAGATTAGGTGGAAACAGATTCTCTTTCTAGTATATCTCAGGAGTCCTGCTGCATCAGTTGACGCCTACATTTTAAGTGGTTCTATGAGGCTGCAAGAACATTCCTTAGGGGGACACTGAAGGAGGCTATCCTGGAACGAGTGTGTTTCAGCAGCTAGGATTCCAAACACTCAAATACTGTTTCAACAAAAACAGCTCCATTTTGTGTGTGTGTCCTGGGCTCTCATATAAATGATTAAGAAAAAAGGAATCCATATTGAAATGTTTGAAGGCCATTGATCTTCAATTTTCAATACGCCTCTTTTACAGAACACATTATATATCCGTAGGCCACTCCTGTACATGCCTTTCTTGCTCACCTGGACTTGAACTTTCTCATCTGCAAGTGCTCCTAGGCCACCTTTACCTGTGGGGGAGGGTGCAGAGTCTTGCTCTGCCAGCTGGGCTGTATGTAATGGCCTGTGGCAGCATGTGATTCTGTAAGCCCACAGACCTCTGTTCACTCAACAAATGGCCTAATTCCCATTGCCTGAATTCTGTATTTGTCTATCCTAAGTATCTTAGCTTCCAGATTGCCTCTTCAATTATATTATTTGGGCTAAGAGGAAAGATGTGTGTAACCTGATGGCTACGCCACTCACCATATGTGCTGAGGTCCTATTAAGAATCTCTCATTTTAAATGCTGAGAGTGGGGAAATACATGATTTGTGGTAGAAGAAATCATAGTCATTTGTTAATGTTTATTTTTTAAAGTAGACACTTTCCTTCATTGAAAAATTAACACATGCAGACAAATACAAATCCAGTGTTATACAAACCTTTCCTTGTTCAAAAATTCTGAATGCTAACTTCTGCAACAGATAAATCATAAAATTACAGTGGTTTAGGATGATAGACATTTTTATTTCTGGCTTACGCTGCTGCCCAATTAGAATGCTTGTTAGGCAGCTTTCTGTGTGATGATTGAGGGAACTGGACCGTCTGCTCTGCTGTCTAAAGTACCTGTCCGATAGTAGAGTGGAGAGAAAAGTTGAGAAGGTGCACCTGTTGCTTCTTCAGCTCCACCCCTTCCTGCTGCCAGTCCATTGATTGAGGTGAATGAAGCTAGTCATACAGCCTGACCTGGACAAAAGGGGCAGAAATGTCCCACACAGAGCAACTGCCCCCAGTCAATAGCTCTCTACCCAGGAAGCCAGGAGTAGGAGGCTTTGGTAGACTGCATGTGATTTTGCTATGGTAGTTATGCTATTTCTTTGAAGTTAGCTTAGGACATATATTAACAGAAATAATTCTAATTAAATTCTCTACCCCGACATCCATTATTTCATTAGAGTTTGCTTGACTCCGCTGGTGAAATTATTGGCAAAAGAATGCATATAATTTTTGGTAGTTTTGATTGTTTTGGAGCTTTCAGCACAAGATGTTTAATAAATATTTGATTGAAAGAAGGAACATTGTTCAGGTTATTAATTATTGTATCTGTTTGTATCTTTATTCTTGTGGTAAAAAACACATAACATAAAATTTACTATCATAACCATTTTTTAAGCATATAGTTCAGTAGTGTTAAGTATATTCAACTTGTTGTGAAACCGATTTCCATAACTTTTTCATCTTGCAGAACTCGAAACTATATCCATTAAAACAACTCCCCTTATGTAAACCCCCTTCGTCCAACTCTGGTAACCACCATTCTACTTTCTGTTTCTATGAGTTTGACTACTTTAAATACCTCATAAGTGGATCTTAAAATATTTGTCTTTTTGTAATTTCACTTAACATAATATCCTCAAGGTTCACCCATGCTGTAGTATGTGACAGAATTTTCTTCTTTTAGGCTGAATAATATTTCCTGTATGTATATTCCACATTTTGTTTATACATTCAACTGTCAATGGACATTTTGGTTGCTTCCATCTCTTGGCTATTATGAATAATGCTGCTGTGAGCATGCATATGCAAATGTGTTTAAAATCCTTCTTTGAATTATTTTAGAAATATATCCAGAAGTGGGATTGTCACTGCCAGCAGGATCATATGGAAGTTCTGTTATTAACTTCTTGAGAGGCCTCCATACTCTTTTCCATGGTGGCTGCACCATTTTATAATTCCATCAGCAGCACACAAAGACTCCAATTTCTTCATGTGCTTAACACTTATTATTTTCTGGGTTTGTTTGTTTGTTTGTTCGATAGTAGCCATCCTAATGGTTGTGAGGTGATATCTCATTATGGTTTGATTTGCATTTTTCTGATGATTAGTGATGTTGAGCATTTTTTCATATGCTTGTTGGCCATCTGTATGTCTTCTTTAATGAAACATCTATCTGGGTTTTTTCCTATTTTTAAATTATGTGATTTCTTATTGAGTTGTAAGAACTCTTTATATATTCTGGATATTAACACCCTTTCGGATATCTTATTTGCAAATATTTTCTCCCATCCTATGCCGTTTCACTCTATTGATTGTGTCCTTTGATGCACCAAAGTTTTTAAGTTAGATGCACACCCACTTGTCTGTATTTGCTTTTGTTGTCAATCCAAGTAATCGTTGCCAAGTTCAATGTCATGAAGCTTATCTCCTATGTTTTCTTGTGGGAATTTTATAGTTTAAGGTCTTAGGTTTAGGTCTTTATTACATTTTGAGTTAATTTTTATGTATGGTATAAGGGTCCACTCCAGTTTTTTGTGGATGTAGTTTTCCCACCATCATTGTAGAAAAAAGTACCCTTTTCCATTGAGTGGTCTTAGTACCCTTGTCAAAGATCATTTGACCCTATATGCAAAGGGCGTGTACTTTTATAAAGCTTCAGTTGCAGACCGTGTCACATAATTCTCGAAATTTTTTGTAAGACAGTGCCAATTCCCTCTCCACTGCTAGAGTTTCAGAAGAGGCTATTTTATTTTACTGATTATTCTTTTTCAGGAGTTTTTATTTGTTTTTCTTTTATTGGGAGACCAGATAATGCTGAAAACAATTTGTATCTGGGTTAAAGTGCATCTCTCTGGGGTAGAAGGAATGTGAGTGTGGGTATGGAAGACAAAAAGGATTTTATTATGTCTTTATTATATCTATTGCTTGGAAATCCTATATATACACACACCTATCAATAGAATAGTGTGTTAAAAACATACTAACGGTTTCAGTCCTACTGTTCTCTGAGTGAGTCTTGTGGGTATGTATGTCTATGTACTTTGAGAAGTATTACTAATAGATCATATACCCAATGGAATGGTTTGAGTGTTGCTAATTATTTTAGGTCCCTGGCATTTCTGGATGCTGTGATTGGGTGGCTGTGTTTTGTGAGTATACACACAACAGAGTGAGCCCTGCTACTGTTAGGTCACAGTGCTCCTTTCATTAACCACAAGAATCAAAATTTGTTTTACTCTTTGTGTGCATTTTTAAAATGCCTGTTTAAAAACTTTCTCGAAGTATTTTTTCTCTATAAAGATTAAGCCCATTGCTTTCCTTATGATGTCCCTGTCTTCACACTGGCACACTGTCTCCATTTAGACAGTATCTGTTTTCTTAATTCCGTGGCCAGAAGCTTATTGGTTTGGGGACTGGAGAGGGGGTCTTGCCCTTAACTGTTAAATAACACTGCCTCTTAGTAAATTGTGTGAAAAGGCCATAGAAGAACATAGGAATAAAACCATCATATTTAGCATACGAAGGTCATTAATGCCCTGAGGCAAAGAGCTGGAAGAAGTAAGATGATGTCAGGAGCTTCACTGTTCTTAGAGCATGTCAGACTCATTTCCTGCATCTGCAGTTTCCATCACCCGGAACGGTTTCTCCCCAGAGTTAGGTCTCCCTCTCTATCTTTATTCTAGTCTCTGTTGAAACATCACACCTTCCTAGCCACTCAGAAACAGCACCCTCTATTGCCTTAGTCTCTAATGCCTGCTTAATTTTTACAGCATTCAACATGACCAGAAATGTATTTAAACATGTATTTGTTTAACTGATTTGTTTTATTATGCATCTTCTCCATTAGAGTGTAAATTCCACGAGAGAAAGGACCTGTCTGTCTTGTGCACAGAGCCTAGAACAATGTTAGAGCATAATATGTGTTCATGACAAAGGGATATTAGGAAGTAATTGGGAGCAACTTATTTTATTTTATTTTATTTAAATGTTTATTTATTTATTTTGAGAGAGAAGCATAGAGCAGGGGAGAGGCAGAGAGACAGAGAAGGAGAGAGAATCTCAAGCTAACAGCACAGAGCCCATTGTGGGACTCAGTCCCACAAACCATGAGATCATGACCTGAGCTGAAATCAAGAGTCGGGTGCTCAACAGATGGAGCCACCCAGGCACTCCAACACATGTCAGCTATTTTAAGTTAGTGGTCAAATTTGTTCAAACTTGATCTGAAGCCATAAGTTACAGATCTGAGAAGTTGATAGCAGTGCTGAGGCTTTCCTGATTAACTTATGCTAGGTACCATGACAGGAAGAAACAATGGCAGAGCACTTGATGAAACCCAAAGGATGGTAACTATCTTATGTATGTATTTCAAGGTGGTAGATCTACTAGTGTCCATGTGTAGGTCTGCATTGGAATCTCCTAGAAAAGTTGTCATTTTCGAGCCATATCCTTCTGTGGTAGATCCTAACGATCCTCAGATGCTGGCCTTCAACCCCAGGGTGAGTACTTACCCTCGCGCGCCCCTCCCATTTCCGGTAACAGCAGCTGAAATTCTAATCTCCTTAGCTTTCCTCTTTCTATCTAAATCCCTCCCTTGGCAGGCACATCCCTGACCTGCTGTGGACTCTGGATCCATTTAGTAAATACGGTTCTTCTAACACAAACTTGGTTTCCGGCCTCCTTCGGTCTTTCCCATATCCTGTTACTTTCCCTGTCTTTCCGTCTCTTAAAATCATGTTTTAGAACTTCATCTTTATGAACCTAGACCCATTTCATCCTCTCAAATTGCGATCTTTACACATCCCATCTGCATGGAAGGCAGGTAAACAGCTATAATAAACTGGTTTGTAATGGCTGATATGATTTCATTTTATATTTTTTGAGATTCTGGCTTAGTGTAACCTCATTTTCAGGGTCATGGGTAAAAGGACCGACTTGTTTTTCTTTTGTATTTTTTGCTTCCTCATCCCTTGCCTTCCCTCCCTTCCTCCCCTGTTGTATGAAGGTTAGTGGAAGTTTAATTCATGTGATCAACTAACATTTCTTCAGAAAACGATTTCATAAATATTCGTGGAGATTTGGTGGAATCCTTCTAAAATAGCAAAATCTTCAAATTGCATGAGAGCTAAAATTGCCTTAGTTTCTATCACTGTTCATCTTGAAATCATTTTCCAGAAACAATGGCTATAAAAAAATGTCCTTGGAAAAGCTTTCCTTCCTTCATAAGTGACAACGGTACACATAGTTACAGTGTGCTTGAAGATGAATCATCAGTTAAGTGGTGTCATTTATACACCTGCTAGTCATACTCTTTTGGTAATAATCTTTCAATCAAAAGGAAATAAAAACAAAATGATTTTGTAATATTTAAAGTGGATTTTGGATTTTAGAAGGACTCTATGCTTACTTTACACATCATGGCTTAATTTTTTTAGTGAAAGTAAGAATCTGGAGCCCAATATCTTTTTTGTATTTATAGTTTTCCCCCTGCAGGCTAAACATGATTTTATGTACTTATACATAAATAGGATTGTATTGTTTAAGTAGTTTTGGCATTGTTTTCTTTTTTCTTCTCTCTAACTCAGTTATATATCCTACATCCCCAAACCATCTTGTTAAAGTCTTCTCTTTTATGTACGCAACAGACATTGCTTTCAAATTGACTCTGATGGAAAATCCACATACAGAAATCATATGTTTCTCTAGTAATGCACAGACTTGCAAAGGCTTATAGTGAAAACTATTTTTTTTGTCTGTTCAAACAGAAGAAGAACTATGATCGAGTAATGAAAGCACTGGATAGCATAACTTCTATTAGAGAAATGACACAAGTAAGTATATCACCTTGTGGTTTTATGCAGTTCAGTTTTGCTAGAGTAAAATCATATTTTACAAATGTCTGAGAGTATTGGCTGTGTAGTGAAATGTAGACTTTTCTATTAGATGGGAGTATAATTAAAATAATTTACAGATTAAAATTGTGTTGTATTAGGATGTTTTAATTAAATTACACCAGTGTATTGGTGGGCTACCACAGTGACTTTTGGAGGGTAATTGCATAATTATAATCCTCATTCTCTCTGCAGGAGTTTGAGCATATGGAAGTGTGTCAGAATAGCTTAAGGCAAAGGTTAAATCTGGTACCATCTTCCTAGACTGTCAATTTTCATTAACAGTAGCAATTTTAACACGTATTTAATGTCAAAATAAAAACAAATATTCTATCAAGTGTAAATTGTGCATAAATATTTTAGAAAGAACACAGATTCTCAGAACAACTTCGGAAGACACAAGACTCCCAGACAGTATGAGTTTATGTTTTTGGTCATTAGAGAGCCTTTGGTGAAGTTTGATGAGCAAGGATTGTGGCTTATTATGAAAGTCTAACAGATCACTGGGCTGTAGTCCAACTCTTGGAAAAGCACATACCGTTGAATTATTGAGGCCTTTCCACTGCCAAAGATTTGGAGAGAGGCTTACAACTCATTATTATAAGTAGAAATTAATAATCCATAATTGACATCAGCATACATTATGGGTTTGGTTTGCGTATGGTGGTTTCAAGGCTTGCACTGCCCTGGAGGCCTTGGAGGCTTACAATAAATACTACCCTGGGTCATTTGCTATCTTTGGGGAAAGAGTATTAGATTCCTTCAGTCTTGAGGCCCACAAAACTTCTGTGTCACTGCTCCCTTCTCCCCCACCATCACCCTTACTGTCCTTGAAAATATGCTCCCAGAGTACATCGTAACATTCCCAGATTTGAGATTTCATTCTGTTGATAGTATTTATTCCATGTAGTCAAATAGGCATCAACAAACAGTGTGTGTCTGATGATGGTAAATGAGGAGATCTTCAATTCACCCGTTATAGTATTTGCTAAAAAGCCATCATGCTTTCTAGTTGTTTTTCTATGTCCATAATTTTCTGTGTTACCTGAATTCCTTTTCAAACAAATATTTATTATTTGTATAAGGCAAAGAAAACAATAAAACACATTTCCATTTAAGGAGAAAGAAGGACCTGTTCCAAAATCTTACACAAAGTTCAGTAAACATTTTTGTGTCACCAAAAACTTTGGTGGTAATAGGGTATTTATATGATACCCTAGACCAGGATCATTCTTGGATAAAAACAGCTACAAAATTCTGACTCTGGGATCAGCTCTCTGCCAAAATTTGCTTCCTTTATTCTGGGTCATGTGTAAGCTATTTTAAATAGAAGGCAGTGGAGACGATCAAGAGTCAGCCTAGGAAGTCAGAGGCGTGTGTTGTATAATTCACTCATCGATGATGTGGCCTGTGACCTTGGGCAAGTTGCGTAATTGCTCGATGCCTCAGCCTCTTCACTGTCAAGGTGGTAAATAGTAAATAGCAATGTGGCATCGCCTTCCAGTGTGCGCTTCGTAGGGATGCCGTCAGGGTTCACTGCGTCATATCTTTAAACCTCTCCCAATAAATATAACATAATACCGTCCTGTTTTCTAGAATGTACTGACCTTATAGATAGACCTAAATTGCCACAGACAGATTGCCTCTTGTTCTCTGAAAAGGTTAATTGTCTGGGTAAATTCCAGGAAATATTTTCAAAAGAAGGGCTCTTCCTATGTAAATTTTGTCCAGTTTTTTCCTGTAAAGCTCTACACCTAAGTCAGGACCCTAGGATAGGAGCATGAGTAGTAGCTATGATACAAGGTTTGCTTTGATGTTAGTTAAAAGTTAAAAACAGTCATTTTCGAAGAGAAATGGCACCCGACACTTGTTAAAGGTGGCGAGATAGATTTTATTTGAGGACTGGAGTGGGAAAGAGAGACTTGCAGCTCCAGCGAGGTAACCTCCGAGTAGGACCAAGGTGACTGAGGTTTTTAAAGTGAGAACAGCAAGGGACCAAGAGGGGCTCGTGGAGTAGTGAAACTAGAAAGCTGTGGGGAACAGGAAAATTGCAGCAGGGGAATAAGTAGAGAATTACCAGAAGGTTGGCAGTGTAGTTGGGACAAGATACCTCTCGTGGTTGGGCGGCATTATATTACTTTGAACAGAGACTCAGCATGATGCCGGGGATCATCTTTAGGGACATGGCCTAGTACCAGGAAGCCAGGCTAAAGCTTGATGAAACCTCTCTGTGTAACAAAATGTTGGCGCAAGTCCTTTGTGCTATGTGGAAGTTCCGAGTTCACCTGGCCTTGTGGGGGGAACAAGAAGGGTAAATTGTTGCTGTTTGTTGCCACTTCACAGCCATGGGCTTCCGGGTTTAACTAGATTAGGTACACCTGTTCAACCTGATTTTCCTGTTGCAAAAAGGAAAAGCAAAAAGGAAGAAAGGAGTTTATGAGAGAAATCACGAAGTATAATGACTTTTTTTCAGGCACCGTATCTCGAAATCAAGAAGCAGATGGATAAACAGGACCCCCTTGCTCATCCCCTGCTGCAATGGTATACAGTTTTAGTTTTCTTCTCCATTAAAACGGCATCATTTTCTACTGCCTGCTTTAAGCGGGGAGGGGGGAGGGGGAGGGCCCCATTTTACGAGGCCTGCAAAGCTACAGTTCTACAAGCCTGTGAGGCCTGGTGATTTTATAATCAGAGTCCGTAATGACTCTCACTTTTATTAAAACTTGTATATCACAAGGGGAAGAAAATGCTGTCCTACGCGCTACACAGGTATACAGTGTATTTGATAGCAGTTTGTCATTTTAAAAAATGTGATTAGCTGCATTCTAATGGTGAAGCCGTTTTGGTTCATTTAATTTTCTCGTTAACTGAGGACTGAGTGACAATACTCACTGTTTCAAACACTTACTGAAAACCTTTCTAAAATGTATGTCTCGTACGGTTCACTCCCTTAACAAGGACAGCATAAACTTGATGAGCTCTTTGTTTGCCGGCTGCTCAGAGTGAGCGTGGTGAGGGGCAAGGCCGTAGTCTCCCACAGGGATCCTAGGAGGGCTGACCGAGAACAGGAGTGTGGCTTGAGAGCTTCCCTCCTACCATGCCTGCCACAAAACCCTTTGCCCTCCGGTTTCTTACTTGCAAGATGAAAACAATAGTATCTACTCCCCATACCTACAAGGGTTTTCTGTACAAGTCTCTTTGAAATCACTAAAAACTTAAAGACTGGAATTCATCACGACCATCATGCAGTAACACAAATGTGAAGATTATAAGAGATTGATTTGCATGAGATTGATTCTATGCTACAACCTTTTTAAAAAAATGAAAAGATGAGCAAAGGAGAAAAAATGAGTCTGATTACTTAGCTTTCACTTGGAATCTTACAGTGAGCACTTACTCTAATACGACTTTAAAAATTAGATTTGGAAGTCTTTCTTCTTTGTACCTTTTTTGATCTTATTATTAAAATTCTGATGGATCGAGTAGAATAACACATAGTTTTCATTTTAACTTTTCAAATTCTCACGTTAAGTCATATTCAAAATGAAGGTAAAAATCTCAAATATTGAATCTTTTTTTTCCACCCCCTGTAGTCAGCCTCTGATTGTCAACTTTTATTTGTGATCATTTTCTTCGGTTTGTTAGTCACTCATCTTTCAAGGAGAACAAAATCTACCAAAATGTTTTAGAGTTTTCCCTATTATTATTTTCTGTACTGAAAAGCATAAAATCATCAGTTCTTTCAGATACCTGAATTTAATTTTTTTCAACCTCAGTGTCTAAATATGGTGAATAACAGCTTGTGTGTAAACCACTGTATATATCAGCACAAAGATCCTCAAATATTTAAAGAAAGAAAAAGATCTCGTAAAAACTCATTCTTAATTAGACAATGTAGGGAAGAGCCAAAGAAGCGGTTGTAGGAATCAGCTTCTAATCTTTGTATTTATGTGATCGTCATGTGAAAATACATTTAGAAATGTTCATTTTGCTGATGTCTGAGGGGGGTAATGATTAAAGATCACACTTTTAGGGTGTAAGGAACTACTTCTGCGTTCTCAGATAAAAAATATTATCTTTTTTGTTACATGCGCTCTTTTAGTTGTTTTAGCAACAAAGCAAACTGATGTAACTAAGTACAAGGATCACTCAGTTTAGTTAATGTCACAGCAAACATTAGTTCCATTCACTTGCCAACTAAAGAAGAAAACTTTAAATATATTTGGCATGTATTTGTGACTGATGGATTATTTTAATTAATTTCAGGGTTATTTCAAGTAATAGGTCACATATTGTGAAACTGCCAGTTAACAGGGTAAGTTGTTTTTTCACATATACATACAGAAGTGGGAACAGTCCTGACTATTTGGGAGAACTGACCCTGTGATGTTTAGGCAGCCTCTCCAGGAAATGGAAGTAATCTCAGGTTAGGCCTCATTCTTCAGTTTGAAATGACCACATGGGCACAAGCTCTAGGTTTTCCCAAGAAATCAAATTCAAATTCAGGCTGCTGCCCTGAACTTTTAAGTGAGTAAAGGGGTCAATATGAAATCATTTAGTTATTCCGCAAGTGATAGGAGGAATCTGGAGATTGACCAGAGAAAGGTATTGTGGTTTTTATTTTTATCATTGTCAGTTTCTTGTTGTCAAGAAAGATACTGCCTTATCAGCTCAATATGCTTACAAAATAAATGAAAAGCCAATGGACTGATTTCAGTTCTGATCATTACCTAAGGAGATCAGTATCCAGAATCTCAGCTCTCCTGTCTGTGAATCTCTAAACTGCAAGATTCCTTTATATTGTATTCCTATACAAATACATTCCTAAGTGAAAGGGCAGCAATTAGAAAATTTGTCAGGCAACTAATTCAAAAGATTCTGTTTTAATTTCTTTCCATGAACAAAGGGGAAACTCTATGTGAATGTAGGCAATTTCCAGATTTATAAGCATATGCAAATAAAGCATGACGATGGTAATTTTTGCAGTTTTAAAATCTTGAACTAACTTTTCTTTTCTGCTTAGCAAACTCAAATATCTCCCCAGTTGAATAGCTAGTGGATACTTAGGGAATTCAGTAATAAAAGTCTCAAAAAGAAACATAATTAGGAAGGCAGATCTGCTTGGACACGATTACACAATGTATTCCAAAGCTAAATATAAATGACTTTGGATTGTCTGTCTCCTGTTCCTTTTCCATTAGCCTAAAGAATTATCCTTCCTATCAGCAACTCCATATGATTTATCGTTTATGCAGGTTTTTTTTTTTAATGAATGGTCCTGTTAGTGTAAATTCGTGTGGCTTGAATCTAGATATTTCTTAAGCCAGTAAAATTTGAAATTGTCATCAATCTGATTCTATGTTAATTTTGACATGTTTTCATTTGTCATTATTTTAAATGGCAGCAACTGAAATTTATGCATACTCCACATCAGTTCCTTCTTCTCAGCAGTCCACCAGCCAAAGAATCTAATTTTAGAGCTGCTAAAAAACTCTTTGGAAGCACCTTTGCATTTCAGTGAGTATGGTTTAACGCTGATGGGGATATAGCTTCACCTCGGTCTTCCAGAAATGTGTGGGAAGGAAAACATTCACTTGTAGTAGTTGGCTGTGAGCACTGAGTAGTCCAGTGCCTGATACTTGACTTGGAAATTCAGGACTTTCTGAAGGTACATGATGTATCATACTGTGGCTACTTTAGAGGATTATTAATGTTTGGTTTTACCTTGTCCTTCCCCTCCTCTGTGCTTTAGTGGCTCACATATTGAAAACTGGCACTCTATTCTGAGGAATGGTCTGGTCGTTGCTTCTAATACTAGACTGCAGGTAAGTTGTCTGGATGCTTTACCAAGACCATATTTACTTTTGTGTTAGAGTTCAATAAGCAGTCCTGGTGTTTTGTTCTTATGTGAAAAGGGGTAAGCAAGCGGGCTTCAAAAAATTGCATAGGATTTTTAAAAGGCGTAAGTAATGTTCACAAAATAACTGAAGCAGAATTGACCTATACATCATATAGGGATGGAAAGGAAAAGAAATTGAATTCCCTATGAGAAAACAGTAAAGTCACTTTGAGCTTAAGTAGAAGAAAAATTATCATGCAGAAAGTAAAAGTGTACAAGCATTCTGTTGCTAATTCAACACAGATTTCTTGAGCACTGCCCAAGTGTGAATACTTTAAGAAAAAGTAGGGCTAAGAGTTAGCAAAATGGAGATTGGATACCAAAGAGCTATCTGTTGCCTGCTTTACCGTCTCTGGGGCAGCACTGGGAGTTAGCGGGATATCGCGGGTATAGTGCTCATCTTTATTTATTCCCTTCATCTCCAATACCCTACCTCACTCTCATTCACCTGATTTTCATCTGAGGATGGAAAGAGGTCAGGAAATGAGACGCTCAATCCCATCACCTGTGCCAGATCTCATGCTACCTGATGACAGTTGAGATGATACAGTTAATGTCCATAAACACACACTTATTCGACTAGTATTCAGTTCATACTAAATAGGGCACAGGGGTTCTAGAAGACAGGGATAATGAGAGAGAATTTTAATTGTCCTGAGTAGTTTCTTAGAACAGTGGGAGAGTTTCAGTTAATGAAACTGTAACCTGCAAGGTTAGAGGAGATAAGAACGGGATTACAGTGTTGTGTAATGAAAATGTCAATAGGCTGCTTTGGGGCTATACGAACATGTGAGTCCTAATCAAAACCCTCAGCATATATAATGCAGTCTGGTTTGTTTTCGGTATTTTGGAGTCAAATATTTTGGGTAAAAACCTTACTTTATAATAATTCACTGACTTTGTCATAGGTCAGGTGGAAAACTTTAAAGATTTTTTTCCTCTGGCCATCACTTTTTATGTATCAACTCACTGAATTTTGAGGACAAAGATATTAGTAGTACTATTTTCAAATTAGTCCTTTAGGAAATAGCTTTATCATTTTCTAAGAATTTATGCTCCAACATGAGACTAATTTTTCTTATGTAAAGTATTAACCTTTGAAACCATTGGCTGCCCACTTTCTCTCCCACTTCTTCCCCTTTTAGCTCCATGGTGCAATGTATGGAAGTGGAATCTATCTTAGTCCAATGTCAAGCATATCTTTTGGTTACTCAGGTAAGCGTGTGTTTCATTTTTACTTTTTAAATTTTTTTGAGTTTATTTATTTAATTTGAGAGAGCGTGCATGCATGCAGGTGAGCAGGGAAGGGGCAGGGAGAGAGGGAGGGAGAAAGAATCCCAAGCAGGCTCCATGCTGTCAGTGTCAAAGCCTGACACGGGTCTCGATCTCACCAACCTTGAGATCTGACCTGAGCCAAAATCAAGAATCAGACACTTACCGAGTGAGCCACCCAGGCGCCCCTTAAAATCAATTTACGAATTTTGTAAATATATCGATTTCTAAATATAGCAAGAGAATTTCCTATCCCTATTTTCCATGCAAATTTTTTTTAAAAGCTGTATTTTCTACTTCCTAACACTGTCAGGACTTCTAAACCCACTGACTTTCCACCCCAAGTCACAGGAGCTCGTCCTTCAGGAGCCCATCGTGATCATTGGTGCCCCATGCAATGAAATCTTAGGCAAAGTGTCAAGGGATTGTATTTGAGGGGCATGATACAGCTTTGTTCCTGAATTACTCTTTTCTTGGTGTCCTCAGGGATGAACAAGAAGCAGAAGGTGACAGCCAAAGACGAGCCGGCCTCAAGCAGTAAAAGCAGCAGCACATCACAGGTGTTGTAGTGACTCGAGTGGCTGATGTGATGAGTGAACGTTAGCCTCATTAGCCAGCAGGACATCAATAAGTCTGGCTTTTTAAGTCTTCAGAGTCATTGTAAATAGTCATTACGCATGAAGGAACAAAACTTACCCTCACGTGTAATAATCAGAGCGCCTTTATTCAGTAAACATTCAGCAAGTATTTATTAAGCTTCTCCTGTAATGTTTTAGAGACTGCTAAGCATTGGGCTATAGTGATGATAAAAAATAGATCGCAAAACAATAGAGAATTCCTTTGGGAGCTTACATTCTGTTGAATGGCTGTGAATGAATTAAATATATATTTAGATAGAATTCTAGGTGGTGGAGAAAAATGGAGAAAAATCAGGGAACAGAGATGTTTAATACCGTGAGATAGAAGATGGGACCAGAGTGACTGTCCCTGGGCTGGTCAGGGAAGGGTGCTCTTTCTCAGGTTGTTGTGTGGAGACCTATAGTCAGTGAGTCCATGAGCCCTATGGGAGGAAGAACATTCCAGGCAGAGAAAAGAGCAAGCACAGATCCCTTGTTGTTTCAGAGGAAACAACCATTCTGGACCAATTAAAAATCTACTTAATGAATAATGTGACTTTAAATTGAAAAAAAAAAAAAAAAGGATAGCTAACTTAGTATCTAAAAACAAAAGCAAAACTACAGATTTTCTACATGAGATTTTTCTGAAACGCCTGCAGCTTAAGTTAATGGTGCTGTAAAAATGGGTTGGTTTTAGGTTAGTTAGATGATCTGGAATAACTGATTTTAATGTTTAAAAAGACCATGCAATTTTAATTTTGTTTCCCTTGAAACAAGGATGCCAGGCTTCCAGTAAAAATAAATTTGAGTTCTAATTCTATGATGCGATGCTGTTAAACTTTAATTTAGCCTTTTTAGTTCACTTATCTTGAGAGTGATTTGATAATGATTATGTACAGAAATTAAATGATACAACAAATATAGCTTGACATTAAGAAAGAATTCAAGGATATTACTGCTAGTCTAGATAGCACCCCCCCCACACTTTTGTTTTTAATCTGGAGCTATCTCAGGGGCTATTATTTTTTAACGATGATGAGTTCTCTTTTCACTTGAGCAACTGCCCCATTTTCAGTCTAATTTTTAAATTCTTTTGGAATTTAGTCACAGAAAAAAGGACAGCAATCCCAATTCCTGCAAAGCCGTAACCTAAAATGCATCGCCTTATGTGAAGGTACGTTGAAAGTTCTACAAACCTTGTAGCATTAATTCTCTATGTTATATGTATTTAGGAATTTGAATATATTTACAGAATGCTCATAATGCATTAGTGACAGCATTATTCCTCGTGACCTTCTCTAAGGGCACAGATGGGAAACAGGTACAATATGGAGCGTTAAAGGTGAAAAACAAAGTGTCACTGGCAAGAGTTCAAACAGTGCTATATTTTATTCTTGGCAGATATCTCAGAATGGTAATTATATTTTCCTGATCAAGTATTACTAATCTCTTCTGTTAATATGCCACCTTCCTCTTTAAGTTGGCTTTTGAATGTATAATGCCATGGAAAATTGGAAAGATGAACCAAGCACCAAGAATAGAACCCAAATAGGTCTTCTGTTTCTACGCTGAAATTATTAATTTCTTCTGAACTTGGGATAGAAAAATTGATAGGTGATTTGGAAAATCATACACTTTTCTTTGTTCTTGCTATAAAATCTGACCTTGACTAGAAAAGCATTTTTTCCTTGTGTTGAGAGTTTTCAGTAGCCACTCTTAACTGCCTTTTAAGTTTTCAACCCTTGATAGTTATATGGGAGACCAAGTTGTTTTCCACATAGTTCCCGAGTCAGGACTGTTTGCTTTTAATAATACACAAGTGATTGCTTTCCTGTTGTTACGCTGATGGTGTTTAAAACATAAAATTGTTACATGACATTTCATTGTTTTTACTACATTTTTGACAGCTAATTAGGTTAAACAATTTTTCGTATGCTGGTCTGGCATGTTCTTTTTGCTTTTAGATTCTAAGAGCCAGGGGTATAGTAACTTAGAATAAATAGTTCTTTACTTTTATCTTCCACTTACAGTGATCACCTCACCTGACCTGCACAAACATGGAGAGATATGGGTCGTCCCCAATACTGATCATGTCTGCACACGATTCTTCTTTGTGTAAGTGTAAAGGTTCACATTTGTGTCTTACTGTCTTCTCCATGAATGAGATAGTAGTGACTACATTTCTTTCTTTTTTTTTTTTTTTTTTTTTTTTTGGTCATTTTAGCTGCCAATATATAACAGACAGCTAATTTCTCATTATATTAATGTTTGTTTTATTTTAATGAGCTCTAAAAAACAGAGTGATATTTAAATGTTAATTTAGAAGAACTGAAGGAAAACATCCTGTCTCTTTAACCATCTATGTATGCATGTATGTACACGTGTATATATGTGTATATATACATACACACAGATAGATGTAACATAGATATACACACACATACACACATATCTTTATCTATGGACTTAAAAATATGATAACTGGGAATGAAGAAAACAATAATGAGAATGCCTGTCCCTATGAAAAGTTGATGCAGGACATACTGATGTGGAGTTTTTGACACAGCTGTATCAAAAGAGCTGTATGAAAATGTAATAGCATTAGTTTTCAGCCCTAAATAAATGATGAGTCCAGTAAACCTGTCTGATTTTCACCCATCTTTGTTTGACTCCCAACCCCTTCCCCTGCCTGTTTCTTCCTCATCCATGGTCCTATCACAAGAGACCCCTCGGGAAAGAATTGAGCATATCTGTTTTATACTTTTATGTAGTCTTCTAAACAGAAGATGGAAAAATGCACTGGGTCGCTTTATAAGCCACGTCAAAATGACTGCAGCAAGATTGCTTCGATGTATAATGTATCTGTAGGATGCTATGCCTACAGCATTTGATCTCTTACCTAATGGACAGGTGACAATGGAAATTTTATGAACTGCCTGGTTTTCTTTTGGATAATATAAAAACTGACCTTCTTATGATACTGATTTACATATTATGTATTTATATATCTTCTGTATTTTTGATACACATTAATACATAAGTTATGTATTGTGAGACATATATATATCTATAGATTTTTTTCTTAATGGCAAAGCAGCCATAAGTGTTGTAGAAAAAGCCTGCTTTGGTTAGACAGTTTGTGTCCAGGCTCACCAGTTAGATGGTGTTAACCATGCTGCATAACCTTCCTAAGTTTCATCAGTGGGTACAGTAGAGTATCATCAGTAGATATGGTAGCACAATATATCTACCTTAAGGGGCAGAATCCCAACAGGAAACCCGTGGCCCATGAAAAATACTGTAATTTCTTTTCTTTTTTTAATAATAATATTTATTTATTTTTGAGAGAGAGAAGGAGACAGACAGGGCCTGAGCAGGGGAGGATCAGAGAGAGAGAGAGAGAGAGAGAGGGAGACACAGAATCTGAAGCAGGCTCCAGGATTTGAGCTGCCAGCACAGAGCCTGACACGGGGCTCAAACCCACAAACCCTGAGATCACGACCTGAGCCGAAGTCGGACACTTAACCGACTGAGCCACCCGAGCACCCCCAAAATTACCATAATTTCTATCATCCACAAGTAAGTTACTTAAAAAGGTGTGGTTTATAGGGGAACCGGTCTAGTGTAGTAACCAGGATCTAGTAACACCACAGCTGTTGTTACTACATATACTTAGGGCCAAAAGGACAAGAACAAGAAACAATTATCAGACCTGGCAGGAGAACCCTTTCTAGTTCAGCAGCTTTGAAAGTCTACACATAGCCTGAGGTGCCCTTGTGGATCTGGAGCTTAGGGAAACCTGGACTTTGCCCTCCTGCCAAGGTCCTGCTGGGACTCCCCATTTCCTCTACCAGAAAGTAGAGGGCCAGGGAGCATACTGATAGAGTCCATACAAATCGGTCTTCTGGGTCAGAATGCAAGGTAGACAAGGATGCCATGTGGGTCTGGAGGTTCCTAGAGAAGCTATCTGCATGCTAGCTTAAGGTTATTATGAGCACAAAGTTGGTGCTATGCAGATCTCCATTGAAAGGCCCTCATTAAATACTTATTCCCCCCCCCCTTTTTTTTTTGAGAGAGAGAAAGAGCGTGTGCATATGAGCAGGGGAGGGGCAGAGAGAGAGGGAGAGAGAATCCCAAAGCAGGCTCCATGCTCAGTGCGAAGCCCGACTCAGGGCTCAATCTCACAACTGAGATCATGACGTGAGCCGTAATCGAGAGTGGGATGCTTAACCCATAACCCACTGAGCCACCTAGGTGCCCCTCCCCTCTTCTTTCTTTACCATCGTGACTGTTATCTTCTGTTAGAAGATTGGCTTTCCCAAAGACACATCCAGTCCCGAAGTTGTTTCATTGAGTGGCCTTAGGATTTAGAAAGTAACTCCAAAGTCCTCTCCTTAGCCTGATGTTAGTTAATTTATCCCTTTTAGTAACTTGCTAAAAGTCAAATATATTGAGCCAAATAAACAACTTTAGATATTTAAGTATGCATTCTAGCATTATTTCTTTGAAATTTTACATAAATTATATGTAAAATAAATCTGTAGGGATATATGTGTTGGGTGTGTATTATGTGTGTGTCTGGAGAGAAGGATATCTGTATTTTTTAGAAGAAAAATTTGAGGAAAGACCACCTGAAGAAAAGAGAACAAAATTCTTCTAGTATATTTAGATACTTTACAAGTAGTATAAAGAAAAAAATTCTCTTAAGATAATGATTTTAATTTCTTTATAATTTTTTTTAATGTCTGTTCATTTTTTGAGAGACAGAGACAGAGAGAGAGAGAGAGAGAGAGGGAGCGAGCATGAGTGGAGGAGCAGAGAGAGAGGGAGACACAGAATCTCAAGCAGGCTCCAGGCTCTGAGCTGTCAGCATAGAGCCCGACGTGGGGTTCGAACTCACAGACTGTGAGATCATGACCTGAGCTGAAGTCAGACACTTAACCCACTGAGCCACCCAGGTGCCCCCTATTTTCATTTCTTTATAAATGCAAATGTGATTTCATTCTTTTTCTCTGCACCCTCAGGAAAGAAGGGACTAATTAAGGAAAATTGATAAGATTCAAACACATCAAAAGGAGAATCCATTCACTAATTAATGTACATTCTAATTACAACCATCAGCTTCTTTATAAAGGATATAATCACAGAGTTCTGTGAGTGATGTGCCTCCCCAGTGAGTGGTAACATCTAGGAAAAGATAAATTGAGGAGAAAGAAGTGAGTTATCACAAATATACTGTTATCAGACAGAAAATCTTATTTTCTTATTATTTTATTCTGGTTTTTTTTATTAACATTATCTGATTCCTTATTTAGAAGTCTGACCTGATAGTAGGATATAAATTAATGTTCCTTCTTTTTTATCTATTATTAAGTGAAACTACTAAAATATTTCAGTAATTTCCATGCTAATCTGATTTCTAGAATGGAGATAATAAAACACTAATTTAATATCCTATTCATACTCTTTCCAACAAGTAAACAACAACACAGAATGAAGGAAGAATTGTGGGGATATTTTAGGGAACAGACTGCTACATCAAAAAAAATTTTTGAAAGTAAAATTTAAAAGAAGACATCACTTAGAAAAAAAAGAATAAGTTCAAAAAAATTTTGTTGGATAATTTCAAAGTGAATGAACTTAATCAAATTTTAATGCTTTAGGCAAAATGTAATAATTAGATGTTTTGAACAGATTGTAACCAATTTTAAGTGTCTAAGGATTCCTGATAAAGTTTGATTTCTGATTGGGCTTGAGACACATGTACACAAAGGCATTAAGGCCAATATTTAGAAATATGGCAGCAGTTTTTAAAAGGGGCTAGAAGCTGGGCTCCCCGAAGCAGAAGATGCAAAAACCAAATGGATACATTGTACTCTAGTTATATGCAACAAACATGCCTGCTTCACAGTGAATGGGGAATTTTAGAGCAAGAGAAGGAAGATTTACTATTGGTATTTCCCATTAATAGGATTATTAAATAATAAAATTGAGGATAAGGTTAGTGTCCAGTGCCATGCCCCCCCCCCCCCCCCCGCTAACCCTCACCCCCACCCCATCCTGCCATAGTGACAGCTGTTAGAGGTAAGAGTGTATGTCTTCTCCCTCAGCTCTCTGGGACCCAGGAAAGGTTAAGAACTGCTAGGTTTGTATATCCTGCTTATTTGATGTTACAACCTGTTTCATGCTTTAGTGTTTCTTTGATTTAGAGCAGGTAGATCTTCAAATGAATTGTTTCCATATGTTGTCTATTAGATAAAGTTAAGGTATATACACTCCCTCCTATTTTTCAAGACATACCAATAAGTTCAGAAACTTAAGAACCGGAGGGACCAAATCAGGTAAGTCTGCAGAGAAGGGATTGGGTATTTTCAGGTTTCTGAGTCAAGTAGATCTCAGGGCTAAATACGTTTCAGGAATTCTTATCCAAAATCTATCTTCTAAGGTCTAGCACAAATATCACCTCTTCCATGCAGCTCTCAGTCAAAATTAATCTTTCTTCCTGGTGTTCTTACACCCCACATTGCAGAACTTTCATTTAAAATTCAGTTTTTTCATTGTATCTGACTTTTCTATGAGGCTATCAACTGCCAAAGGGCAGACCCCTGCTCTTGCTTTTCTTTTTTCTTTACGATTTTTTTTTATACTTTGTTTTGAGAGAGAGAGAGGGAGAGAGAGAGGGGGAGAGAGAGAGATGCCTGCATGCACAAAAGGAGGGGCAGAGAGAGAGAGGGAGAGGCTGAGATTCCCAAGCAGGCTTCCACACGCAGCTCAAACCGTGAGAGATCATGACCTTAGTCAAAATCGAGACTCGAAAGCTTAACTGACTGAGCCCCCCAGGCACCCCTACTCTTGCTTTTCTTTTACTCTCCTACATGCCCTGAAGCACTTCCCAAGGTACCCAATGCCGAGACGCCTGTCAGTACATTTTTAATGAATGAACAAAAACAAAGCTGAAAAGGACAGTATTTTGGATTACTAATGTATGGTTTTTACTTTTGGTCAAAGTTTGAAGTATATCTAAAGAAGAAGATACAAGAAAAATTTGTAAAATAAGAACTGTATAATGGCCATCAAAGGAAAAGAAAGAGAACTTGCATCATGATTTTGCAAAC